GAAAGACACCTTGATTCAACAGGCATCATTCTTCATTTCAGTTCATTGTTCTCAGGGGGGGAATATCATTCAAATCGGAATCACACAAAGTTTTGGATCTCCTTTTCTGGTCTTCAAATTTTTCTTCTCCACAGTCATCATGTAAGGTTTCTCTGGGTGTAATTTCAGACAGGATCTCCCTACATTCTCAATTCTAAACTTCTGAGTAAACGTAGATGCCGACAGCATGCAGCATGTTATTTCTTGGGGACCAACTTTTGGGGCTCGTACTCCTCCCTGGCAGCTTCTTTCCAGGTGAGGTGCTATGCATTGCTAATCTGCCAACAATCATCCGATACCGTGTCCTCCACGGAATCGAGGAGGATCTGATTTTAAAACCGTTTGCTTAACCTTCGGCTTCTATAGGGATGTTTTCGGTCTCGCCTGAATTCTTTTCTTGGTCCTGTCTGGAAACCCTTCCCGGTCTTAAAGGAGCAGGGCACTTCTGGTTTCAGAAATCTAGGAATGTGAGGGGTGGGTGACCCAGGGGTCTGCATGCACATTTTTATAGGGACTGACTGGGAAACAGAAGGGCCCTGGATTTCTCAGCGTCCAGCCTCCTGCAGCGACTGTGATCATTAGATCTGCAGCCGTTTGTCTAGTGAATTGCTCTCCTCCGAAAGGGTGATCCAGTTCCTCTGATGGTGGGGAAGGGCCAAATGGCTGCAGCTGGGCCCCGGCCTCCAGGCGCAGCCCAAGGTGTCAGCAGCCCCAAGCACTGTCTCCATAGGTAATGACATCAAAGGGGGTGCAGTCCCAGGACTGGGAGACCCCATGAGGCAGGGATGGGGAACCCCCCACCCCCCACCCGCCGGGCTGTCTAGCTTCAGGGGAGATTGTTTACACACCAAAGAGTGGGAGGGAGGTGCCAGGCCCCAGGTTTCTGGGGAGAGTGCTTCAGGAAGGGAGGGGCCAGCGATCTCCTTCCCCTTCAGGAGCAGACAAGCTAATTTTCCCCACCCCTCACCTATGCAGTGTTTGGCTGCTCGAATGGATCCTTGGCTTTTCGGATGTGCGGGTGGGGCGTTGTATTATTTACATTAAGGTAACGCATAAGACAGTGATGGCGAACCTTTTGAGCTCGGCGCATCAGCATTTCGAAAAACCCTAACTTAACTCTGGTGCCGTGTCACACATAGAAATTTTTTGATATGTGCAACCATAGTAAAACAAAGACTTATATTTCTGATATTTATTTTATATATTTAAATGCCATTTAACAAAGAAAAATCAACCAAAAAAATGAGTTCGCGTGTCACCTCTGACACGTGTGTCATAGGTTCGCCATCACTGTCATAAGAAATCTGTAGAACACCTCCTCTGTGCATTCAGAATAAAGTTAATAACGATGAATATTAAAACCCAAACACCAGCCAACAGAAGGGGGCGGGTCCTGTCCCTCCTCCTCCGCCAATCATGACCCGCTCTGGAGAAGGCGGGAGCGAGGCATCCAATCCGAAGCCTTTCCGGGCTGGGAAGAGCGGGAATGCCTCAGGGCCCAGGCCCGCCAGGAGGCCGCCACCCCAGCCCACGAGAGGAAAGACAAGGCACCCAGTTTAATGTGAATTTTGGATCGACAACAAATAATTTTTAGCATAAATAGACCCCCAAACAGTGAGCAGGCCATACTTGTGCGGAACAAGGAAAACCTTCCACCTACTGTTGATCTGAAACGGAGGCACCTGCATTTTTATTGGCTACATCTGGCACTGGTGACCTGGGAAGGCCCGGCTGAGGACACCTCGTGCCTACCGAAAGGATAAAGGGAAAAGGGCGCTAGGCCCTCTCTCTTCTCTTCTGAAGGTGTCGGAGGAACCCAGCACAGAGTGACATCCACAGCGTGTATGAGTCACGGACGGAACGTGTGCCCACCTGCTCTCCCTTTCCTCCCTCCCTTTGCCCTCCTGCCGGGAGGTTTTCAGCGGCGGGTAACAGAGATGGTGCCTGAGAACGGCTTCAGTAATAAAGGCATTTCACTGTCTACGGCAGCGGTTCTCAACCTTGGCTGCACCTTAGAATCACCTGGGAATACAGAGATGAGTGGGTTGGGGGTTGGGGTGGCGACTCACGGGTGGGTATCTGCGTCCCCCATCCTCTGGCTGCCTGGTGACGAGGCGGCTGCTGCAGCTCCAAGTACAGTCTCCCAGCGGGACTTCGAGCAGGAAAAGAGGCAGACAGCAGGAATAGGGGCTTTCCTTTTACTAGGAAGGCCTCCCATCATCCTTCCCTTCGTAATTCGTTGGTTGGAACCGGGTCAAAGTCCCACCCCCAGCCCCAGGATAGGCCGGGAAAGTGAGTATCGGGCATAAGGGGTCAGAAGAGCAGTGACCGGCTACACCAAGGCCCCGTTTCCAAGGCTGGGCAGTTGCCTTCCCAAAGCAGGGGTCCCTTAGCGAGGAAGTCACGCTCAACATTCCATACCCAGCAAGGAGGCGAACTGAACGGGAGAGTCACCGAAAGAGGCCGGTGGGCCTGGCTGGAGGCACCGTGTTTGAGTCACATGGAAGCAGGATCCTGTGGCTGGGAGGTGGGAGGTGGAGGCTGAGTGTGAGAGGCCCACGCTACCTCCTCTCCCGCTGGCCTGTCCAGACGGCAGGTGGTATTCCAGGAGGGGCCCTGGCGTCTAGAATTATCCAGAACTTAAAGATGGAGACAGCAGGGCACTCAAACACAGGACCCTTCGGAGCACCAGGTCGCCCACCCGTGAAACCCGCCCTGGCCTCGCTCGGAGCAGAGTGGCCGGCCCAGGACAGGGAGCCTTGGTGAAGGTGTTTTAGGGTCTTTGGGGAGGGGGGGGGGGTATGAAGTTGGATTAAATACATTCATGGCCAGTGGGGAAAGCTGTGAGTTGGATTGTTGTAATTAACATGTGTCCAGGCCTCAGCACTAACTCTCATTCAAGAGCAAAGAAAGAACCGATCTCACCCTTTCTATGCATAACCCAGGGCGGAGGCAGAAGTCAGAGAAGACGGGACTCTCGGGGTTCCTCCCAGGGTAGCAGACGGGCGGAACCCCCGTCCCCAAGAAATGTGAGGGGGCATCCTCATGCCCATTCCGACAGACGGTGCCAGTCTCTTATCTGATCGTCTCAGTGGCCCCGTGCGGTGAGTGTGTTATCTCCATCTTATAGATGAGGTCATTGGGGCTCAGAGCAGCCCATGGTTGTCCACGGACATGGTCCTGCTGGGGTGGGAAGCTAGGCAGACTGCACCCACAGCCCATGCTCGTCAGCACCCTGCACCCCTGAATGAGTCCAATGGGCTTAGTGAGGCCAATAGGTGAGACCAGATATAAAGGGGCTGGGTATTTGCGGGGAGGGAGGGTCTTAGAATCCTAGGGCCCAGGGGGGATGGTAAGGTATGACACCGGGATGTCACTCAGCCACGGGACTGCAGGCGGAGGGCGGCCCCCGAGATGGCAGTGGAGACGGGCCAGGGAGCCCGAGCCAGGCCATCGGCGGAGGTCTCCTCACAAAAGTGTCTGTCATGCATGGCCAGTTTCCGAAATGAATCCACCAGCCAGGGACGTGGGTTGAACCACTTTTAATTAAAACGCACGGGAATGGGATGAAAGCCAGAGAGTGAAAGGCGGGGCTCCCATTTGCTAAGAAAACAGCTGAAAATATTCCAGGGAGCTGAGCGCATTTTGATAATGGAATTTTAAGCAGCTTCTTGGTTTTAATTTTATTTAAAATGTTTATGTAGTTAGAAAAAATAGCTTGCTATTCATTTTCTACCCGAATGCAGGAAACGCTGAGACGTTTTAAATTAGTCGAGATTCCACAGACATAAATATAGGTCCCGGTTCAGCGGCAGAATTCGTGTTTCTGAGTTGTTCCATCCACACCTGGGCGATCAGCCCATCCGATTCTATTTGGAGAATAATGCCAGCCTCCAATTCAATCTACCTAATATCCAAGGTTCTGTGATATTGTCCAGTTTAATGAGATGGCTCAGTGAAATTAAGACACTGTTAATCTCGTCTCAAAATCAATTTTCTTTCCAGGACAATTCTTGGGAACCTCAAAAATTTCTCGCTTTATATAATAAGCAGTACATATTCAAGGGCTGAGATCTAAAAGAATAAGTACATTCATATTAAAAAAATCCTCATAGCCCAGCTGGCATGGCTAATGGCTGAGTATTGATCTATGAACCAGGAGGTCACGGTTTGATTCCTGGTCAGGGCACATGCCCGGGTTGCGGGCTCGATCCCCAATGGGGGGCATGCAGGAGGCAGCCGATCCATGATTCTCTCTCATCATTGATGTGTCTCTCTCTCTTCCTCTCTGAAATCAATAAAAAATATATTAAAAAAAACCCAAAAAAACAAATCCTCATAAAATAGGATCTCACAGAGAGGGTGACCTTGAAACGTGTCATCTACTGAAGGGCAATATGCTTACTGTATTGATATGTCTGAAGTACTTGCTCAAGATGAAAGCATTCTCTATGCGTGGACCTCTATTAGAATACCTAATGCAAATATGAGAATGATAAATGGGAATAACTATGAAGAGAAAGAATTAGCCCAAACCTCCAGACTTCTCCATTTAGAAATAGTGTTTACCAGTGAAATGATGTCTGTGTGCGATTTTCTATTGAAGCGTTCTGTTTAACGGCATAAGATGGGAAATAATGCAAATGCGTGTCAATGGTAGAGCAATTCAATGTTACGCTATTTCCGGATACGGACTAGAGTGCAATTATAACAAAACAAGCACGCCCTTTATGTGCTGAAACGGAAGACACTCCCAAATAAATCAAGTGAAAAGTAACAGTGGCTCACCCGGCTGGTGTGGCTCAGTGGTTGAGCATTGACCTATGAACCAGGAGGTCATGGTTCAATTCCCCATCAGGGCACATGCCCAGGTTGTGGGCTGGATCCCTAGCAGGGGGTGTGCAGAAGGCAGCCGATTGATGACTCTCTCTCATCATTGATGTTTCTTTCTCTCCCTCTCTCTTCCTCTCTGAAATCAATAAAAAATATATTTTAAAAAATTCATAAAATAAAAAAAGGACAGTACAACTGCCCACCTTTCTGCTGGATATTTCCTGTCCTTGGAACATGGAAGACAGATCCTGAAGGGAAACCCCCAACATTCAAAACCCTTGACCTCCAGCCAAGCGTCCCCTGGTATTAAAGCCCCATTCTAGCCGCTGCCTATGAACTTGCAAACTAGAAAAAACTGTATTTGTCCTTGAAAATATTAGTCAAGGGAGGCAGGGTTCTCAGGTGACGATGGGACTTAGGGACACTAGGAAAGTGGGTGATGCCAAGACCAGCCCGGGAGAAGCTGGTGTGGGAGCAGGAATGAGGGCCAGCAGGTAGCCGAGGGCCCCCAGGCCACCACTGTGGGCCAGCGTCTTGGCTGCTGGGCTGCTGGGCGGGGTGGGGGTGGGCCCCTCACTCCGCCTCTTTCTTCTCCTCCGGGATCTCCACCGACAGGATCTGTTCGCCAGGGTCCAGGCCGGGGCTCACGCGGATCCGCACCGAATGCTCCTCCTGGGGACCAGTTGCCTCCTTCTCGGTGCCCCCAGGCAAGGCGGGTGGCTGAGAGCCTGGGGCCAGGGGTTCCTGGGGCGCAGGCTGGTCGGGGGCGGCGGAGCCCACCTCTCCCGCCGTGTCTTCCGAGCTCTTGGCCTGGAATCCCAAAAGGGTGACTGGTGAGGCCGAGAATGTCCAAGGGATCTTAGCTACCTCCCTGTTCCCCGCGTTGGACCCCACGGAAAAGGATGGCGAGCTCAGCAGGTGCAACTAGCGGGTGGGGGACTTGGCGGAGCTGCATCAGGGTTAGTTATGGAGACGATATATTATGGGGGACGTTGACGGATTAAAATCTCTGGTTGGAAGGTCCTGGGGAGATATGTTAGGTCTCTGTTGCGTCTCAGAGCTGAGCCTCTCCCTGCCCACCCAGTTCCCAGGGCTGCGCGCTCCTTGGGGGATGAGAAAAACTAACCAGACGAGGGAAGGGCCGATGAGGGCTGGAGCAGCTGTGGCCTGCCCCCGTTTCTGGAAGGTCTCAAAGGCTGAGATCCACAGAGGCCCCTGGCATTAGGCTGGGCTGAGCCCCACGCCTGGGGACTTGGTAGGTACCTCCAGCCTCCAGCCTGTGGGCCCCCATGGACGCTGGCCATGGTCTGTGTATCATAGGGAATTGGCTGAAAACCCATGCTTTTATGGGTACCCATGGCCCCTCCTGGAGGGAGCAGCCCCCAGACCAGGAGGCCCAGGGTCCCCAGATGTCCAAGTCCCGCTTGAAATGGTGCTGAGTTAAAGGGAGAGCAGTCACCATGCGGAATTAAAGGGACAGAGACCCCTGAAGTTGGCTCAAGTCACACGGTGTTGAAGGAAGGGGAGCAGGGGGTGGGGGACAAGATGCTCCTAGAACCCAAGGCGTCCTGGGGGACGTGTCCCTCCCTCTGTCTCATGTGTCTGCAGGCTTGTCACCCCTGTGCCCCCTCCCCTGCCCACGCTAAGCTCTGACAGGCACTCCCAAGGCGGGATGCCCAGATGGTGCCCCCAGGGGGCCTCCTGAAGCATCCTGCTTTGACGGGACCCGAAGGATCATGGGACAGTTGGTCCAGATGCTTTCGTACTGGTACCCCATGTGGCGACCCTGAGGAACCAGGGGCTCGGGAGGCTTGAGGAGCTATACCCGTCACAGCTGCCGGTGACAGGGCCGAGGCTTGGACCTGTGTCTTTGGATGGCTACAGAAAAGCCCCTTGCACGCTGCCATTCTGCCCTGGTTCTGAATTGCAGGGGAAATGCCTTTTATTGGAACACGTGTGCACATGTAATTCCCGTCTCCGAGCTGCCTCAGTGAAGAGCTAACATTAGGAGCCCATTTCGGATCAAGCCGGTCACTGTCCTGAGGACACTCGGGGAGCACCTGTCAGCTCAGCCGGCCCTAGAGACCGCAACCAGCCCGCTTGATGCCACCCTTGGCAGGCGGCAAGCCAGACAGTCACGCCTACGCTCAACCTGGGGCCAGTGGTGACTGCCTCTGGAGACCCAGGCATCACTCCTCAGATCCCGCTGTCCCCTGGCCTCTGACAGGTCCCCGGATTCTGACGCCAGCCTGCACTGAGCCCGAGTGCACTGGCCTCCTCCGAATTGTCTCCCATGGCCTGCTGCCCCCTCCCCTGCCACCGAGCTCCTGCCTAAGCCCATCCCCCCATTTCCCAGCAGCCTCCCTGCAGGACCGTAATGAGCAGCCATAATTAATGCAATCACTCTAATTGGCATTCTGGGCATTAGTCACAGAAAAAACATCCCAGAACTAATTTGAAAATTCCCTTTAGATTTATGGGGGCGGGAGCAGTCTGCACAGTGCCTGTCGCCTTTCCAAATCTTTTAAATTGCAAATCTTTTCGACAGACACAACATGACCTAGGAGAACATCACTCTTATCTGGGGAGGGAGGGACATTAGCTGCCCACACCAGACTTCCCTTTGGGAAAGCCACTCTACCGCCTCAGCGTAGGGCGGGGCATGTGAGCCAGGCCTCGGTGGAGCACCCACTGAATGGCTCAGGGATTGACATGTGACCCAATTCTGTCCAATGACAGCGAGCCCTGGGATTTTTGCTGGAATTACTGGGAAGGAGGTGCTTTCTTCCTGTTGGAGCTGCTACACCTTCTGTTGGGGCCAGCCGGGAGTGGAGTCATCTCCCAGGAAAACAGAGATGATACACCTCGCCCTGTTGGCATCATCTGAGCTTTGGACTCAGCCTTGTGATAGGGGGACTTATCACCTGAATTCATCTGAAAAGTAATAATATTTTAAATCTCAGAACACATATGCTTATGCGAATAGGGGGTTACGTTTCTTATATGAGAATAGGGAGTTAAGTTTTTCTTAAAGTTTCCTTTTCAAGGCCTGTGCAAAGCGATGGAGGAGGTGACTCAGCTGTGAATCCAGCAAGCAGAACCGATAAGCATGGTCAGGCTGACCCACCAGGAGTCAAAACATCATCTCATCAACATCATCTTATCAATGACTAAAGACAATAGCTGATGTCTGTGGACCCCCGGGGCTGCACGTAGCACCCTGGCCCCTTCCCCTTTATACTCCTGCCCCCTGCACCTTGCTGGAAGGCGGGGTTTGATGCTTGTAAGCACCCTGTCTTGGTTGGCTGGCCTTCCCAATAAACGCCTAGTATAATTCAACCCTGCCCTCCTTATTGGACACAGCGACAGGCAGCCCGAGCCCACCCGGGAGTTTCCGGGTAACACTTGACCAGACTTTTTAATTACTCCACCCCATAAACTCCGTTTTCTCAAGTGAATATGAGCCTGCACTGTCCATTGCAACCAAAGGAGCCCTGCGGACAGGAAGGAGGGAAAGCACCCCCCTAGGATGGACCGTGGGTCCCCTCGCGGAGGTCCCCGGCCTTCCTTCTGCCTGGCACAGAGGTGACGCAGATCGGTGGCCAGGTTCCCGGCCACATTACCTGTTCCAGCAGCTGCTGCTGCTTGGCAGCCGCCTCCAGCGCAGCCAGCTCTTTGAGCCGAGCCCTGAGGTGGGCCAGCTGGCCGCCTTTCGCCCCCCTGGCGCCCATCTTTCCCGCTGCGGCCAGGGCGGCATTGAAGAGCTTGGGGGTGCCGGCCCGCGGAGGAAGGATGAGCACACTCTTCTCCTTGGGCTTGCTGTTACTCTTCAGCATGCGCCTGCAAGAGAGCAGCGTCCACTCATGTCCCCAGCGCAGTATTCACTCATGTCCCCAGCACAGCGTCCACTCATGTCCCCAGCACAGCGTCTACTCATGTCCCCAGCGCAGTATTCACTAATGTCCCCAGCACAGTGTTCACTCATGTCCCCAGCACAGCATTCACTAATGTCCCCAGCACACAGCACAGCGTCCACTCATGTCCCCAGCGCAGTATTCCCTCATGTCCCCAGCACAGCGTTCACTCATGTCCCCAGCACAGTATTCACTAATGTCCCCAGCACAGCGTCCACTCATGTCCCCAGCACAGCGTTCACTCATGTCCCCAGCACAGCGTTCACTCATGTCCCCAGCACAGCGTTCACTCATGTCCCCAGCACAGCGTCCACTCATGTCCCCAGCACAGCGTCCACTCATGTCCCCAGCACAGCGTTCACTCATGTCCCCAGCACAGCGTTCACTCATGTCCCCAGCACAGCGTTCACTCATGTCCCCAGCACAGCGTTCACTCATGTCCCCAGCACAGCGTCCACTCATGTCCCCAGCACAGCGTTCACTCATGTCCCCAGCACAGCGTTCACTCATGTCCCCAGCACAGCGTTCACTCATGTCCCCAGCACAGCGTTCACTCATGTCCCCAGCACAGCGTTCACTCATGTCCCCAGCACAGCGTTCACTCATGTCCCCAGCACAGCGTTCACTCATGTCCCCAGCACAGCGTTCACTCATGTCCCCAGCACAGCGTTCACTCATGTCCCCAGCACAGCGTTCACTCATGTCCCCAGCACAGCGTTCACTCATGTCCCCAGCACAGCGTTCACTCATGTCCCCAGCACAGCGTTCACTCATGTCCCCAGCACAGCGTTCACTCATGTCCCCAGCACAGCGTTCACTCATGTCCCCAGCACAGCGTTCACTCATGTCCCCAGCACAGCGTCCACTCATGTCCCCAGCACAGCGTTCACTCATGTCCCCAGCACAGCGTTCACTCATGTCCCCAGCGCAGTATTCACTCATGTCCCCAGCGCAGTATTCACTAATGTCCCCAGCACAGCGTTCACTCATGTCCCCAGCACAGCGTTCACTCATGTCCCCAGCACAGTGTCCACTCATGTCCCCAGCATGCAGCTTCTGCTCATGTCCCCAGCGCACTCAGGGACAGAGGAAAAGTTTGCTTGTACAGAGCCCTTGGAGTTGGACTTGTATGGTGGTGGTTGTTTGGCGAGCCCTTTTTTAAAAAATATATTTTTTTATTGATTTCAGAGAGGATGGAAAAGAGAGAGAGAGAGAGAGAGAGAGAGAGAAACATCAATGATGAGAAAGGATCATTGATTGGCTGCCTCCTGCACACCCCCTACTGGGGATCGAGCCAGCAACCCAGGCATGTGCCCTGATCAGGAATCGAACAGTGAACTCCTGGTTCATAGGTCGATGCTCAACCCCTGAGCCACGCCGGCTGGGCTGGCAAACCATTTCTGAGTGTATTTCCTGAGCCAAGCACAGCCCTAAGGGCTTCGTGCATAGCATCTCACTGAACGATCAGAACAACAGACGTGGGTCTTATTGTCTTCACCTTATAGAGGAGGAAACGGAGGCTCAGAGAGGTTGAGCAACTTCCCTGAGGTCACACAGGAAATAACGAAGGTACTTCAGTGTATGGAATCAGAAATAAGAGGCCCAGATGGAAAAGGACCCAAAGCTTTCTGCTTCTCTTTCTCTGGCTTCATTGTCACGTCACCAGCAGCAGCAGCACCACCTCAGCCCTTACTGAGCGTCTGTACGTGTCAGGCCCTGTGCTCAGTCCTCTACAGGCGCTCCTGGGTGGCTCTGCGTCCCCCTTCCTGCCTCTGTCTGTGTGATCCCCGCCCCTTGAGGGGAGTGGGACATGCCACCTGCTTTCAATCACTAGAACACGGAGAGGGTGGTCAACTGTCACATTTATGAACACGTTACACAGGATCATGATCTGCAAGGACAAGCCTTGCTGGCTTTGCTGAAGCCAGCGCCCACGTCGGGGGGAAGTGAGGGGACAAGACCCTGAGGGCAGCCACCAGTCCTACAACCACGAGCACTGAATTCAGCCAACAACCACGTGATGTGGAAGCACTTGAACTTGAGAGGAAACCCAGCTCTGGCAACACCTTGATTACAGCCCTGGAGTGGGCCCGCCCCAGCCATCCCCAGACTTCTGACCCATAGAAACTCCAAGATAATAAATACGTGTGGCTTCAGGCTACTGCATCTGAGGTAATACTGTTAGGCAGCAGTGATAACGGACAACGCACTCTGCCATTTAAGTCTCCCCGGGGTCCTCAGGTAGGTCCTGCTATTTCCCCTCATTTCGAATGAGGACATGGAAGTCCAGAGAGGGCAAGTAACTTCCCCAAGGTCACACAGCTGGGAAGTGGCCGAGCTGGAATTCAAACCCACACCCCTGACCCCAGGGTGCCAGGCCTTAATGATCGCAGCAACTTCATGGGCAGGCTCTTCCTGGATGCTGACAGCACTCCTGTGACACGGGAAGGGCTGGGATTACTGTGCCTATGAGAGCTGGGGAAACTGAGGCCCAGAAGCGGGGGAGGGGGGACTGACGTGCCCAAGGTTGCCAGGAAGTGGCCGAGACAGAATAACAACCCAGATTAAATGCGGCATGTCCCCCGGCTTCCCTAAACGAGGAGAGACTTTTCCATCTGACAAAGCCGCCGCCTCTCATGAGGAATTCTTCACGCTGCTCATTTATGGCGAGCGGCTTGGCTCAGGAGCAAATGCCTTTCGCCTGCGAACGAGCAGAGCCGAGGCTGCTAATTGGCCCATTCATTCCTCGGGCTTCCAGCAAAACGTGTTTGTTTACAAAGGAGGCCCTGGCTGGCTGCTTCTCTAATCAGAGGCAACGGATTGGAATTGTGTGTATCGATATTAATTGCCCGAGATGTGCATGTGCTAGCTGGGGCTGCCCCCGGAGAACACCCACGTGATCCTTCATCTAGGCCTCTTCCGAGCCCGGCACCGGCACCCGTGTTATTTGAGTCCGTAATTCCGCGCACACGCGTCTGCAGGAAGGCTCAGCGTGGGACGCAGGCGACAGGAAGGAGCTGTCCACAGGACCTTCGCGGAGGGCTGGCGCTGGCTCTGGTTTGAAACATTGATCGGGCTTCCGGGGTGCTTCCGGATTAAGGAAACGGAGCCTCGATTTCAGATGGCATGCGTTCCACTATAATTAGGATCAAGCATTCACCCCTGAAGGAGGGGGCATGCATGAGACCTTTGGCCCCCTTTCTTGGAGAGGCCAAGTCCAAGAGCTGAGCGCCTCGCTTATTTGGGGCCACAGGTCTCCCATAAAGTGGGGAGCTCAGGCAGAACCCCACATGTGGCTTTCACCAAGTCAGACACCCCCAGGCCCTGGGGTTCTCAGAGCCCATCTCGCTCTCTTTAAATTGATTTCAGAGAGGAAGGGAGAGGCAGAGAGAGATGGAAACATCAATGACGAGAAGGAATCATTGATCGGCTGCCTCCTGCATGCCCCCTACTGGGGATCGAGCCAGCAACCCGGGCATGTGCCCCGACCGGGAATCAAACCACGACCTCCTGGTTCATAGGCCAGCGCTCAACCACTGAGCCACGCCGGCCGGGCGATCTCGTCTCTCTTTCGATGGGCAGCGTTCCTACGTGGCCCCCTGCCTCTCTCCTCAAACTTGCCCAGAATCAGCCCTTCCTCCTTCCTCTGGCTGCCCCCACCCCCACCCCCTGTCCCACAGGCAGGTCAGGAGCCAGGCCTCTGCAGGATCTGGCCATTTGGCAAAGCTTCACCTAACTCGGCTGGTGGGGTGACATGCCACTTGAGCCTTCCTGCAGGGGGAGGAAAAGAGGGGGAGGGCCTGGGGGCCAGTTCTCAGACATAAACAGTCAGTTCCCATTACCTGGGTAAATTCTACGCATCCCTGCAAACACGGAATCGGTGACGCCCGAACCGTCGCCGCTGGGGGAATCGGGATGAGGGCTCTGTGTGCCTCTCAACGCAGCATCTTCATCAGCCGGTCAGTGCATTACCTGCCTCGGTGTGCTTCTGCTCAAAGCCATCTCACTGATCCTGTTGCCGACCCATTCACAACGAGCCCAGGGCCGGCAGCTCCAAACCCCGAGCCTGAACGAAGGCACGTCCCAGCCTCCTTTTAAGTAGGAGGTCACCAAAAAACTTCACGGAAATGTAAAAACCGGGGCACGTAGCAGACCCCACACCAAAAAAGACACTCGAGTCCAGTAGGAGCTGGAAGGAGAGGGCGGAGTGCCTCTCGCTCCGGCTCAGCTTGGAACACGCGCTCTGGGCGCCTCAGATGTTCCCCTGCTCCCCGGGGCCTGCCAACGCCATGCCCGCACGCCCCTGAGTGTGGGTCTGGGTTGTAAATGAATGTTAGCGAGGAGGCGAGTCACAAATACAGGATCCAAGAATAGTGAGTGTTGACCACACTCCCCCGGCCCTCAGGAGAGGAGGGGAAGTGGGGGATTTTGTGGGGAAAGTTCAGGTTCACCAGCCTTTGGAAGGGCCCAGTGGCTTCCCCACCCCCCAACCCCCCACCCCCACCCCATCGCGGGCGGAGCCATCACCAGGCTTCACCTACAGGCCCTCCCCAGCCTCAGCCCCCCGCTCCTCCATCCCCATAGCAAGCTGTGCTCCTTTTCTTGCTGGTCTGCACACATACACACCGAGCCTGCACCTCCGTGGGCCTTTGCACATGCTGTTCCCTCTGCCTGGCATGCTCTTCCCTGCGGGCAGCGCCCCAGCTTGCGCCTTTCCTCTGTGCAGGTCTCCGTGGACATGCCACCTGCTCAGAACGGCTTTTCCTTGCCGGCTTGTCCCAGTAACTCCCTCCATCAGTGTGTCCCCTCCTGTGGCTTTGTGTTTCCACAGAGCCCTTGTCCCCGGCTGACACATCACCTAGTCATTCACTTCTCCGTTGTCGGTCCCCCACCCCCGAATAGGATGCAGATAGCGGGCGACACGGTCGCCAGCTGTGTCCCCAGGGCTTCCAACTACGTCCTCAATAAATGACTGTGCTGCATGAACAGATGTTGGAGACTCGGTTCCTTTTACCAGGACCACGCTCTGTGCGTGGTGTTATTTCAAAGAATGAAGGGGAAAGGAAATATGCAATAAATGGCAAGGGAGGGCAGGCACCAGATATGTGCATTAGAAAGTATCCAATGGGAAAATTATAGAAGGAATTGAACAGATAAAGAGGGACCATCATTATTCACCTTCTTACTGAGCCCTCCCACAGGCCGGGCACCCTGCTGGAGACGCACACAGTGGTGGAGTTATGGTTACCCTTCGTTTACAGGGGAGAAGACCGAGACCAGAGAGGTTAAGAAACTTTCCCAAGGTCACACAGCCCGTACCACAGCTGGAGGAGATCTGAGCTCTATCAGACCCCCACACCGACAGGGGTCCTCCACCGGACCACGTGACCTCCGTCACGCAATTAAAACCCCGATCTTTTAAAAGCAAAAATACGCTTTCCTAAGAAATCACCTGCTCCCTGACAATCCCCGATACAGGTGCACAGGTTCTCACTGCAGCCCTGTTCCTACTACAAGATCCCGGAAACGGCCCGAATGGCCACGCACAGGAGCGCTTTGCCGCTGCCCACGGGGGTGAGCGCGCTGTCTGTGGACCCACAGGGGCCGCGCGGCAGGCTTGGCGCTGTGTGCGAAAAAGCAACGTGCAGAGAGAACCCACAGTGAGCCGCTCTCCACGCAAGGCAGAAACAGAGCTCAGAACCCATTCGCGGACCGGCCTGTATTTGCCAAAGGAAACACAGAAGGTCCCACAGCGATGGAAGAGGAAGTCTTAGTCCTTCCGGACCGCACACGAAAGCATCCATGCACTTTTTTTTTTAGAGAGAGTGGAAGGGAGAGGGGGAGACAGAGAGAAACACCTAAGTGAGAGAGACACATGAATCGGTCACCTCCTGCATGTGCCCCACCCCATCCAGGGCCGGGGATCGAGCCTGCAATGAGGTGCGCGCCCATGACCAGAACCGAACCCGGGGCCCTTCCGTCCGAGGGCTGACGCTCCATCCACTGAGCCAAACCAGCCAGGGCTCCATGGACTTTGTCAGTGAAAAAAAGAAAGGAAAGTACCTGGCCTTCTTCCGGAGCAACTTCTGAGACTCGGGATAATGCACCAGGATTTCATTCAGGTCCTTCTTGTCCAGAATGAAGAGGTTGGTGAAGCCGTGGGCCACCACGTTGGCCGTGCGCCGATTCCCGCCTCCGACCGCCAGCAGGCTGGGTGAGGGAGGAGGGGGTGAGGCCCTTCGGGGCTGCGGTTCTGCTCACCCCGCAGTCTTCCTCTCCACCCCTGTGTCCGCCCCACGCTGGCGAGAGCGTGTCACCTGCATCTGTCGGCAGGTGCCCGGGCGGCATCCACAGGGCTCCCTCTGACCCCCAGGGGCCTGAGGATGAGGCCCACCCAGGGGCCCGAGGATGAGGCCCACCCAGGGGCCCTCCCCTTCTGACCTTATTTCTCCGAATACAGATCCAGCTCTCAGCGTCACCAGCACGGACTTCCCGTCAGGGCCGCCCAAGACCTGCACCTGCCCCGCCTGGATGATGTACATCTCGCGCCCTATCTCCCCCTGAAACCGAGAAGGGGCACGTCCCTCTGTCATTGTCAAATCGGCCGCAGACACAGCAGGACTGGGCCGGTGGCACGACCTGGTGTGTGTTGTGGGGCCTCCGTCTCTCCATCTGTGGATTGGGGAGAATGACCCCCCTCGGCCTGCCTCAGTGACAGGGTGGCGGTGGGGAGTCAGTGGGTGACGGAAATGCTAGCTGTCATGGGGCAGGTGTAACGGTGCTCTACAAATTCCCTTTATGCACCCCGATGCGGGCCCGCGCCTCGGACAGTCTCGCGGTGCCTCGGACAATAAACTGATAGCTGCCCGGCCACGGTGGCTCAGTGGTTGCACATGGACCTATGAACCAGGAGGTCACGGTTCGAGTCCCTGTCAGGCCACATGCCTGGTTTGTGGGCTTGATCCCCAGTGAGGGGCGTGCAGGAGGCAGCCGATCAATGATTCTTTCTCATCATTGATGTTTCTATTTTTTTCTCTCCTTCTCCCTTCCTCTCTGAAATCAATAAAAAAATATATTAAAAAAACAACCTTTAACTAAAGGTTGGGTGGAAAAACCCACAAACAGCCATGCAAGGGTACCATGTGCAGCCTTGCCCTGCCCCACCTCTGCCCCCGCCCCCTTCCCCCCTCGCAGGACCAAGATCCTGGCAACAGTTCCATCCACAGCTATGGCCCTGCCCCTCTTCAGGCTCCTCACGTCCCTTTTCTGTAAAGTGGGGCTCCTCGGCCTGGCCCCCATGATCCCGTGTACAGGGAGCAAAGCCTGAGACTCACCTGAGTTCGGTGTCTGGAGCCGGACAAAGCCTCCGGTGCCACGGAACCAGGATCCCTGCGGCTGGCTGACCAGCGCACAGAGCTCTGGCCACTCTTCCCATCCCTGGCAATCCCACCCTCCCTGTGGCACCCCCCCCCTGGGCCCTCACAGGCGCCTCCCCCCCCCCCCCAGCCCAGCCCAGCCCAGCTCTCCACAGCCGACAGCCGAGGGCAGGGGGTAAATCCCAGCCGTTGCCATGGCCGCCTCGGCCCTCACCTTCTTGCACACGTAGTCATTGGGCAGGTAGACGACAGAGCGCAGCCGCTTGAGCATGTCAAAGATCATCTGCCGGTCACAGCCCTGCGTGGGGAGCAGCCAGGAGCCCGGTTAGAGGAAGGTGGGGGCTCAGGCCTCCCAGAGCCCGGAGGTGCGGGTGGAGGGGGTACCTGGAAGAGCGCCACTTTGCTGACGATGTCGTAGTTCACGTCGATGGCCAGGTCCAGCCGCATCTTGTCTGGAAGCTGCACCATCAGCTCCGACTCATCTGCAAATGAGAACTGGCGACAGTCAGGGGCTCAGCCAGGCTCCTCCCCACCTTGTGGACCTAGTCCACACTGCACCTGCCCCGTCCACACTGCACCCGGCCCGTCCACACTGCACCCGGCCCGTCCACACTGCACCCGGCCCGTCCACACTGCACCCGGCCCCGTCCAACACTGCACCTGCCCTGTCCACACTGCACCCGGCCCGTCCACACTGCACCCGGCCCGTCCAACACTGCACCCGGCCCCGTCCACACTGCACCCGGCCCCGTCCACACTGCACCCGGCCCGTCCACACTGCACCCGGCCCCGTCCACACTGCACCTGCCCTGTCCACACTGCACCCGGCCCGTCCACACTGCACCCGGCCCGTCCACACTGCACCCGGCCCGTCCACACTGCACCCGGCCCCGTCCAACACTGCACCCGGCCCGTCCACACTGCACCCGGCCCGTCCACACTGCCACCCGGCCCCGTCCACACTGCACCCGGCCCGTCCCACACTGCACCCGGCCCGTCCACACTGCACCCGGCCCGTCCACACTGCACCTGGCCCTGTCCACACTGCACCTGGCCCCATCCACACTGCACCTGGCCCCGTCCACACTGCACCTGGCCCTGTCCACACTGCACCTGGCCCCGTCCACACTGCACCTGGCCCTGTCCACACTGCACCTGGCCCCATCCACACTGCACCTGGCCCCGTCCACACTGCACCTGGCCCTGTCCACACTGCACCCGGCCCTGTCCACACTGCACCTGGCCCGTCCTTACTGTACCCAGCCCATCCACACTGTACCCGGCCCGTCCACACTGCACCCGGCCCCGTCCACACTGCACCTGCCCCGTCCACACTGCACCCGGCCCCGTCCACACTGCACCTGGCCCCGTCCATACTGCACCTGGCCCCATCCATACTGCACCTGCCCCGTCCACACTGCACCCGGCCCCGTCCACACTGCACCTGGCCCCATCCATACTGCACCTGCCCCGTCCACATGGCACCCAGCCCATCCACACTGTACCCGGCCCGTCCACACTGCACCTGCCCCATCCACACTGCACCCGGCCCCGTCCACAATGCACCTGGCCCCGTCTACACTGCACCTGGCCCGCCCTTACTGTACCCAGCCCTGTCCACACTGCACCTGGCCCGTCCTTACTGTACCCAGCCCTGTCCACACTGCACCCGGCCCCGTCCACACTGCACCTGCCCCGTCCACACTGCACCCGGCCCCGTCCACACTGCACCTGGCCCCGTCCACACGGCACCCGGCCCCGTCCACACGGCACCCAGCCCATCCACACTGTACCCAGCCCGTCCACACTGCACCTGGCCCCGTCCATACTGCACCTGGCCCCATCCATACTGCACCTGCCCCGTCCACACTGCACCCGGCCCCGTCCACACTGCACCTGGCCCCGTCCACACTGCACCTGGCCCCATCCATACTGCACCTGCCCCGTAAACACGGCACCCAGCCCCATCCACACTGTACCCGGCCCGTCCACACTGCACCTGGCCCCGTCCACACTGCACCTGCCCCGTCCACACTGCACCTGGCCCCGTCCACACTGCACCTGGGCCATCCACACTGCACCTGGCCCCGTCCACACTGCACCTGGCCCCGTCCTTACTGTACCCGGCCCTGTCCACACTGCACCTCGTCCCGTCCATACTGCACCTGGCCCCGTCCACACTGCACCTGGCCCCGTCCTTACTGTACCCGGCCCTGTCCACACTGCACCTGGCCCCATCCACACTGCACCTCGTCCCGTCCACACTGCACCTGCCCCGTCCACACTGCACCTCGCCCCGTCCACACTGCACCTGGCCCCATCCATACTGCACCTGGCCCCGTCCACACTGCACCTGGCCCCGTCCATACTGCACCTGGCCCCGTCCACACTGCACCTCGCCCCGTCCACACTGCACCTCGCCCCGTCCATACTGCACCTGGCCCCGTCCACACTGCACCTGGCCCCATCCATACTGCACCTGGCCCTGTCCACACTGCACCTGGCCCCGTCCATACTGCACCTGGCCCCGTCCACACTGCACCTGGCCCCGTCCATACTGCACCTGGCCCCGTCCACACTGCACCTGGCCCCATTCACACTGCACCTGGCCCCGTCCACACTGCACCTGGCCCTGTCCACACTGCACCCTTCATTGCAATTGTCTGTACGCGATCTATCTTCCCTCCTCACACTATGACATCAGCAAGACCTCAGGTACTGAGAGGGAGCACTGTTTTTACGGAATGCTTTACGAAGATGATTCAGTCATTCTCCCAGCAACCCAAGAGGTGCCCACTACTATAACCCCCACTTTTCAGGCCAGGACGGGGAGGCTGGGGAAGCCCAGGGGGATGAACGCAGGAGCCCACCCAGCCATGGGCGCCAGAGTCTGTCTCGGGAAGGGAAGGGCCGAGCCAGTTTTGCCCACCAGGAGGTCTGTGGTGCCCAGCAGAGAGCCTGGCATGGATGGCTGTTGGCCCTGGAGACAGGAAATGCACTACCAGTCCCCACCCTGATGCCCCGCCCACTGCACCGATGATTTATGGGCTCAAGCTCTGAGCGAGCCTGGGCCGGCAGAGCCCTCTGGCAATGTGCACCCCTGGGAAAGGGGGTGAGATGCCGATGTCACGAAGCTGTCACTGCGGGGAATGAGGTAATGAAGCATCCTTGTAAACTGTCGAGTCACAGCACTAGCAACCGAGAGTAACCAAGATCCTGGCCCTCGTGGCCACAGACCGCCGCGACCTGAGGCACAGGTGCGGCTTCTTTGAGACCAGAGGGAATCCCACAGAGGCAACGGGCCCTTTTATTTGGCTGGAGAAGTTGGGGGGCTCCAAGGCACAATAGGGTGGCTCTCGGGCTTTCCAGAGGCCTCCAAAATCACGTCTAGGCTCTGAGAACAAAATGACTAGCTCCCAGAGCTAAAAAGGAAACTGGGGAAATTTAAATAATTAACATATGATTAGCATATCCCGATTCCATTAAGGGTTCCCTTTAGAATCTGTGAAAACCTTTCTGCATCTGCAAGAAATTTCAGGTAAGATTCTCCCACTTTGTAAGAATTGCTGAGCACACCCCACACCCCAACACGGACAAGAATGCAGAAACAGCAGTGAATTAAACTAATTGTAGCCAAATAATTTCAGAAGCAAAGCATAACATCAGCAAATTTACAAAGAAATCTATACATACGTGTGTCTACATTTGGAGACGAGAGAGAGAGAGAGAGAGAGAGAGGCACTTCCTTTTCTCCTGACTCGGTTGTACTCCCATGTGCAATGAGCACCCATTCCGAGGTGGGTGAAGTGAGGTGGGCAGAGCCCCCAGAAGACAGGCCCCTCAAGTCCCCAGGGCCTCCTGACGGCCCAGCCCCGGGCGCCCCACCGGCCTCCCAGGCCCCTCTCACATAAATGTAGGGACACAGACAACAGAGGCCCCAGGCTGGCCTCCGGGTCACAGGACGAGGGCAGGCCCAGGAGGGCGGGGTGCCTGCAGGGGGAGTCTTACCCAGCATGCCTTGGGAGTGCCAGGTGTACTCGTACCAGGTCTTGACGCGGTTCTGCACGGACCTGGGGATCTTGTAGAAGTTCATGTACTTCACGGTACTGTCCATGCAGCTGCGGTAGTAGGTCTGCCCGGCCGTGGCGGCCCCCACCACGTCTCTCATCTGGGGCAAGAGGGGGGTGGGGGCGAGGAAGCTGCTGGGTCTGAACGGGGCCGTTCCATGGGCTTTGGGGACGTGGGACACGGGCACGTTTACTTCACACAGACCAGGGTGCAGTGGGGTTCAGAGAGAGGGAGGCCCATGTCCACCCAGAGAAGGATTTGCTGGCGGGGAGTTCTGTCTCCAGCGGGGGATGGGGGGCTAGGCTGCTGGCCCCCTGGGCGGCCTCAGGTCCCAGGGGCTGGGCTGATGCTGATACCACACAGCCGCTTGGTGCCAGGGGCACTTGGACCCCAGGCTGCAGGAAATATGCCCGGTGAGGGCGCGGGGCCTCAAAGGTAACTCTGAGGACGGCTGAGTGTCGCCCCCAGCACATCAGAACCCCCGCCCCAGGGGCTGCTCTCTTCAAGGGCCCAGTCCCTCAGCCCCTGCAGAAACCGTTCAGCCAGCTCTCGGACCTCCCAGGGGAGGGGCATTTCCCAGGGAAGCCAGCGCCCGGAGGGGATGGGCCCCAAGCCCAGGCTCCCAGGCTCAGTGGAAAAGGCCCAGGCACGCGTGGGCACGCTCCCGCAGGCAAGTGTGGGCAGCCGGACCGTGACCCAGCTACCTGTCCGATCATCACGGAGAAAGCGAAGACGCCCGTGAAATAGTTCAGCAGCTGGAAGACGATTTCAAACAGCGTCTTGGGGTCGGGCAGCCCCCCGATGGTGATGAGGGTCTTCACAGCCCAGTAGTAACAGCGGATGTAACTAAGGGAGGAAGAGGAAGGGCGGCTCAGGCATCACAGGCCCCGCTCCCCCGACCCAGGTGGCCTGGCCCTGACAGACGTGCTTGTGCGAGAAAGAAAGCCCTGCCCAGCCGGGGTGACTCAGTGGCTGAGCATCGACCTTTGAACCTGGAGGTCAACAGTTTGATTCCCGGTCAGGGCACATGCCCAGATTCACGCTCGACTCCCAGTGGGGGCGGGGGGGGGGGGGGGCGTGCAGGAGGCAGCCAATCCATGATTCTCTCTCATCGTTGATGTTTCTATCTCTCTCTTCCTCTCCCTTCCTCTCTGAAATGAATAAATATATATATATATATATATATATATATATATATATATATATATATATAAATGGAACACGGGCCCTGAAGCTGGACTTCCCGGGCACAAACCCAGCGCTGCCACCCTCCAGCTGCAAAACCCGGACCAAGCCTCAGCTTCCTTCCCTCCAGTGGGCGTGTTCACAGACAACACCCGTCACAGGTGACCGTGAGGACAGCTGAGGTGCAGTGGTTCTCAACCTTCTGGCCCTTTAAATACAGTTCCTCATGCTGTGACCCAACCATAACATTATTGTCGTTGCTACTTCATCACTGTGATGTTGCTACTGTGATGAATCGTCATGTAAACATCTGATATGCAGGATGGTCTTGGGTGACCCCTGTGAAAGGGTCGTTCGACCACCAAAGGGGTCGCGACCCACAGGTTGAGAACCGCTGTGCTAGAAGCACACCTGGCCCAGGTGGGCTCTGGGTAAGTGCCAGCCATCACGTGCCTGCTCTGAGAACAATAGACTCCCGTGACCTCAAGAAGTTCACCATCTAGTGGGGACAGGCAAGCAAACACGTAATGGGGGAGGGAAGCAGCGGTGGTCGGCGATGGTATGGAGGGCTCTCTGGCTCTGACCAGCTGGAGGCCTGGGCAGGGCTTTGAGCCGCCCTGTCCCTCATTTCCACCTGGTGCAGGGGAATCGCCGGACAACACCGGCCGGCCCTGTGAGGTCCCCTGTCCCACCTGTCCTGGCCACCAGAGGGCGCAGGAAAGGCCTTTAGCCAGCGGGACTGAGCAAGGAAGCGGGGAGCTGCTGAGCCAACAGGAAGAAAACAGGCGTGATGTCGGCAAGCCTCAGCCTCTCCCCAAACCCTTCCTGGCGGGAGGGACCGTCCACTGGCTGGCACATCTCAGGGGGCTCCCTGAAGCCTTGTCTTCCATGCTACCCGGTCTGTGGGGACCCTGCAGGATGAAGGGCCAGATATGTTGGGTCCTCAAGCCCCAGCCCATAGCAGACGCTGGACAAATGGTCGCTGTTCTGAGTATTATAATTATCCATGGTATTGGGCTTCTGGACTCGTAGGGGAGTCCTCCTTCGCTGCTTGTGCTTTGGCCATGTATCGGGGTTCCCCGTAGGATTTCCTTTGGAAAAGAGCAGTGTTGCCAGAAAAGGGGTGCCCTCCACGCTGAGTACTGAGAGCTCCTGGGGGCCCTACTGGAGGAAGGCCCTGTTCTCCACTCCCTGCTGGCCACTCCTCCCCTGTGCCTGCGATGGCGGTGCCAGGCCCAGCCCCAGGACGTGGGTCCATAGCTTGTTGGGGTACAGACGCCTCTGAGAATCTTAGTAAAGCCAGGGACTTCTCCTTCAAAGAGCCAGTATGTCCCACACATCTCACTTGCACCTGCATCTCAAGAGCCCAGTACCCCGTGTGGCTAGTCGCTCCAGTATCGGACAGAGAGGGCCTAGAGCAGCGGTTCTCAACCTGTGGGTCGCGACCCCCTTGGCGGTCGAACGACCCTTTCACAGGGGTCGCCTAAGACCATCCTGCATATCAGATATTTACATAACGATTCACAACAGTAGCAACATGACAGTGATGAAGTAGCCACGAAAATAATTTTATGGTTGGGTCACAACATGAGGAACTGCATTTAAAAGACCACAAGGTTGAGAACCACTGGCCTAAGAAGGTGAGGCTGGAACTGCTCAGGTAGGGAGGCTGCTGGGCAACCAGGCCCCGCCTACCTTCCCAGGTCATTCCACACCCCGCCCCCTTGGAGGACACAGACTGCCAGCAGGTCCTTAACTCCATTGTCCTGCAACTCCACACCTGTCTTCACGGTGGCCCCTCCCCCAGGCATGCTCTGCCCCTTCTCTCCACCTGCCAAGGCCAAGAACTGACCTCATTCCACCTCCGCAGCCCCAGGCAGACATTTGTGACACTGTAGTCACCCTGCCTGGGCTCAAATCCCAGCTCTCTAACTTAGGAACTGCGCTGCCCTCAGAGGTTGCTGCACACCTGTTACCTCGTCTGTGAAACGGGGCAATGATAGCACCTCTCTTGTGTGATTGTTGGGAGGATTAAGTGAGTGACTGTGTTAGCAGGGCTGGTACCTTATAGCTGCGCTGCGGTTCCTGCTATTATTATTATTATTATTATCATCATCATCATTACCATCACCATCAGCATCATCATTTGATCATGTCCCACAGTGTATGGCAGCTCTCTGGATGGGCAAGTAGGTTTCTTCTTTTTAAAAAAAATATATATATATTTTTAAAAATTTATTTCAGAGAGGGATGGAGAGGGAGAGAGAGATAGAAACATCAATAATGAGAGAGAATCATTGATTGGCTGCCTCCTGCACACACACCCCCACCAGGGATCGAGCCCGCAACCTGGACATGTGCCCGACAGGGAATCGAACCGTGAACTCTTGGCTCAAATGTCAACGCTTAACCACTGAGCCATGCCGCCCGAAGGGAAGTAGGTTTCGCCTTGTTGGTCAACCCTCGAGGGGCCAGGGACGCCCGGGAGCTGTGCTGAGGTTTCTGCGGCCTCGTTCCCATACAGCTGTGCCCTTAGGGCACCCACCCCAATGCACATGTGCGGGGACTCTGCCAACTCAGCTAGACTCCGGGATCCCAAAGGGTCTCTCCAGCGGGTCTGGCTCAGGGCTGTGCCCCTCTGCCTGGCACGTGGCAGGGGCTCAGATGTTAGCTGAGCGAGGACGGGAGACTTGGGCCCTCAACCTCATCACCGTGGTAGTTCCTTGGGATGGAGGAGGCCTGGGGAGCATGCGGGGATGGGGCTGTATGGGAGTCCCTGTGCGGGCAGGATGGCCCGGGAGGAAGGCTGGCTCACCTGTTCCCCACGCCATCGTACACCCAGTGGGTGGAGCCAATGCCCTGATAGGCCGATGCCCAGTAATACAGGCATGAGTTCAAGTGCAAGCTGTAGAGCAAGTAGGCGGTGGTCCTGATCACCCTGCCAGGGAAGGAGAGGCGTGAACATGCAGCGGGAGGGTGGCCGTGACATCTCACCAGGGGCAGGCGCACAGGGAACACGCCCGCCGACCTCCCCTCTCCGGCACCCACCCCACAGACGCCCCCGTGGGAGCTGCGTGGCCTCGCCCAGCTGCCTGGGGGCGGTCACTGGCCAATAGGGACAGCACAGGAGCCAATGCACGGAGCCGACCGGATGCTCTTTTGAGACTGCGCGCTGGGAGTGGTGGCTCCGGACAGCACTGTCAAGACCAGGGCTGGTTTGGCCCAGAGAGGCCTGTGCACACAGTCCTGGGCAGTGCGTCCGTGGGCAGGGGCAGAGGAGGGACAGGGTGTGCAGAAGTGCCAGTCCACGAGAGAGGGGAGAGGACCTGTCCCCGACCTGCCCTGGCTGGCCATCCTTGGACACCACCCAATGGCCCGCTAGGTCCTTGCTCCCCGTCCCCCAGGATTTGAGCAATTGGGCGGGGGGGTCAGTCCCCTGAGCTGAGACCAACATGAAGCTTCACCCTGGAAACAGGGGTGAGGCGTGCGTGCCGACCGAGGTGTTCCCTTCTCACAATCGCGGGAAACGGGACATCCCTGCTCCCCTGAAACACAAACATCCCCCGAGGAGGGCCAGGAAGGGGCCCGGCTTCCGGCCGTGCTGAGGCCTGCAGGCCAGGGGAAGCGTGGGTGGAGGGTGTGTGTGTATGTGTGCATGTGTGCGTGTGTGTGTGTGTGTGCGTGTGCGTGTGTGTGCGTGTCTCTCACCTGTAAACGTAGGCTTTGCTGAGGATGGATTCCAGGCGGCTGTTGAACTCGAAGAAGGCCATGTACTGGAGAGAGAACAAGGCATCAGGGCAGCCTGCGGTCCAGGGGTGACACCCCACCCTCACACCATAGCCCAGTTCCCCTGGGGGTGCCAGGACTCAGGAGGAGGCTGGAGAGGGGACGTTCAAAATCACAGGTCCTGCCTGGCTGGTTTGGCTCACTGGATAGAGCGTCGGCCTGGGGACTGAAGGGTCCCAGGTTCGATTCTGGTCAAGGGCATGTACCTTGGTTGTGGGCACATCCCCAGGAGGGGATGTGCAGGAGGCAGCTGATCGATGCTTCTCTCTCATCAATGTTTCTAACTCTCTATCCCTCTCCCTTCCTCTCTGTAAAAAAATCAATAAAATATATATTTTTTAAAAAATCACAGGTCCTGAGTCCTCGCAGGGTCAGGGCCAGAGACTCCAGTTACTAATCCGGCGGCAACCATGGCGCCTCTTCCTCTGAAGTTTCATGCCATCATGTCCTAACAGCATAATCTCAGGGGCCTCCTAGACCTTCTCACTCTGATCATGAGCCTTGGAGGGGCCCCTGTGTCCCAGGTAAGGAACTGCTGTCAGTGTTACCTTCGAAAGAAAACCATCTCATAGTGAACCGTGTCCCTAACGCCCTCACTTACACCCTTTTTTTTCTAACAATAAAAGTAACCACACAGCCGCTCTCTGTGCTGAGCACCTTCGACCACCGCACCGTACAGTGACGAGCGTGGGGGTTGGGGTGCGGACCCCTGTGCAGCCGAAAATCCGTGTGTAAGTTTGGGCTCCCCACGAACTGAACTACTAACAAACAGCCTACTTTGCCCAGAAGCCTTGCCGATCACATAATCAGTTGATTTACACCTATTTTTTACATTGTATGTATTATACACTGTATGTCTACAATAAAGGATGCTGGAGAACCGAAAATATTATTAAGAAAGTCGTAAGGAGGAGAAAATACGTTTGTAGTAATATATGTATTTATTTTTAAAAATCTGCATATCTGTGGACCCACGCAGTTCAAACCCGTGCTGTTCAAGGTCAGCTATATACGTGTGTATATATCTGTCTCTATAGCGATAGATATGTTACCTTACACATGTTTTGCATGTGCGGTATCTATTAGCATTCTCCTTTTGCAGCGAGGAAACGCACTCAGCCCTTACCCAAAGCACACAGGCAGGAAGTGACAGAGCCAGGGCTCGAACCCAGATTGGACTCACCCTGCCTCTCCGAGGGGGACACCCTCCCGGCGCCTCCCGCTCCCGGTGCTGCCGGGGCGAAGCCACCGGTCCTACCTTCAGACAGCGGGGCAGCCGCAGGAGGGGGTTCACGCCGAACTTCAGGTAGAGCAAGTCCAAGGGCAGCAGGCACAGCAGGTCCATCTGCAATCCCAGCGGGCAGCACAGCGTGTGCAACAGGAAACCCAGGGCTGGGAGGGGGTGAGCGATGGGGCCTCTCCCCTCAGCGGACAGGTGCACTCAGGAGGCCTAAGCGTAGAGCAGAAGGCCTCCCACCCACAGGCTGCTGACTGCCCAGCCCGTGCCAGCCCGGGGAGCCACGTCCCACCTGCCCCGGAGCACCCAGGGCCCCCTGAGGTACCACCTTCATCCCTGCACACACCTTAAAGCGGGGAGACTTCAGGTAGTTATTGCGCATCTCCTTTTTGTCTGTCTGGAAGGAAATGGAATCATGACCGAGAAATGGGGAGCGGCGATGGAAGTCCCTAATGACCCCCCCACACACACCTTCCTATCAGAGTTGTAGCCCCTGGACAAGGAGGAACCAGAACGGAGCAGATGCGCTTGGGGAGAGCCTCCAGGTTCCCAGGTGGGGAGGGGGATCCCCCAGCCACCCGCTCCGCCTGCCGGCGACTCACAATGATGTCCCCTCCCCTGACAAACTGCAGGCGCATCTGGAACACGGTGATGTCCAGGAAGTAGATGAGGTCGCACAGGTAATCCATCAGCAGCCAGAAGTAGAGGTTGCCCGGCGTCTGGTAGGGGAAGGCCCAGCGCACAGGGATCAGCCAGCAGTTCCAGTTCCAGGCCAACACCACGAAGAACAGCCACAGGATGTACATCAGGTCTGCGGGCGGGAGGGGCCGGGGCGGGCCCAAGCCTCAGCCAGTGTGAGCTCTCTGTGGGGGCCTCTGTGTTCCCCTTGTCTGTCTGCACTTTCCTAGAAGCACTAAGTACGTGTGACACTCCTATAACTCAGAGCGGGGAATCTAGTTCCTGCCTTAGTAAATACACAGTGGTACGTAATGCACCGAAGATGGACAGATGGATACACAGACATGTAGATGGATGGATGGATGGATGGATGGATGGATGGATGGATGGATGGATGGATGAGTGGATGGATGGATGGATGGATGGACGGACGGGTGGATGGATGGATGGGTGGATGAGTGGATGGATGGGTGGATGGATGGATGGATGGATGGATGGATGGATGGATGGATGAGTGGATGGATGGATGGATAGATGGATGGATGGATGGACGGACGGGTGGATGGATGGATGGGTGGATGGATGGATGGATGGATGGACAGATGGGTGGATGGATGAATGGATGGGTGGGTGGGTGGGTGGGTAGGTGGGTGGATGGATAGATAGATGGATAGATAGATGGATGGATGATGGGTGGATGGACGGACGGGTGGATGGATGGATGGGTGGATGACTGGATGGATGGATGGATGGATGGATGGATGGATGGATGGATGAGTGGATGGATGGATGGATGGATGGATGGATGGACGGACGGGTGGATGGACGGACGGGTGGATGGATGGGTGGGTGGATGGATGGATGGATGGATGGATGGATGGATGGATGAGTGGATGGATGGATGGATGGATGGATGGATGGATGGACGGATGGGTGGATGGATGAATGGGTGGATGGATGAATGGATGGGTGGGTGGGTGGGTGGGTGGGTAGGTGGGTGGATGGATAGATAGATGGATGATGGGTGGATGGATGGATGGGTGGATGGGTGGATGGATGGATGGATGGATGGACAGATGGGTGGATGGATGGATGGATGGATGGATGGGTGGATGGGTGGATACCATAGGTCACCTGGTCATTTTAGAGGCCCAGTGGACACCAGTGTCCCCCAAATGACTGCCTGTGTGACCTTGAGGAAGTCCCTCTGTGGCTCCTGCCCTGCCCTGAGGCTCAGGCCTAAGAGGTCAGATAAGAAAGGCAGGAAGATTCTCTGTAAACTGTAAAGAGCCGCGCACACATGAAGGTCTGTCACTCCTGAGGAATAGTGAATGGGCTAAAAGAGGGGATTCCCTTCAGATGTGGGAAGAACTTCCCTTTTCTGCTCAGAGCAGCACCTCCAGGAAGGAGCCAGCAAGAGCTGAGCAGAAAGACCTGGTCAGCTGTCAGGGGCCCAGCTGCCAGCACTAGCGGTGTGTGTCGGCGGCGAACTTCTCTGTGCCTCTGTTCCCGTGTCTGTCCGACGGCTGTGATCGTGCGTTCCCTTCCAGGGATGTGTGTGTTTGTTTCGGGGTCCCAGCCTTGGATGCCCACGGCCTCCCAGCCCACGTCTGGCTCAGCCCCTCCATCCCGTCCCGCTCTCCCGTCCTCTCGTGTCACGTGGCGGCCATGCCCACGGCCCAGCCGGGACTCACTGGTCAGCGGGTCGATGCTCGGGGGGAACTGGTACTTCCGCCAGGGCCGGCGCTTGAACTTGCAGCAGAGCATGTCGCAGTAGTGCTCCTCCTCCGCCTGCGCCTCCCCAGCGGGCGTCGTGCCCGCGGCCGGCTCCGGGGCTTGCTTGGCGGGAGCTGTGGGAGGACGCCGGTCACCCCTGACCCAGCCCTGCGGCTCAGGCAGGGGATGCAGGGAGAAGGCTCCCAGCTGCAGACCCCGCACTGGGGCTGAGGGACCCTGGCCCCGTCCCGGCTCTGTGGGCAGCCGCCAGGGGGCTCTCCTGGAGGAAAACCCTAAGCTCCCTCCTCGCAGCGACTGGGCCGTCCAGCAACGCTCAGCAGCCGCCATGTGGAACTGCCCACAGGAGGCGCCTCTGGGCCAGTGGATGTGTCAGCTGAGTGTCTGCTTGTGCATCTGTTTGGATCGTTTGGTTCCCCCTGCAGGGCAGGAGCGCCTCGGACCCAGGACTTCCACCCCCCAGGGTCAGAAACCAGGGCAACACTGCTCTAGGTTCCTCAGAGCAGGAAGCTCGGCTCCTTTGTCTCTAAAACAAGACACCGAATGGATGACAGCCAGTGGATGGCGAGGAGGGTGACCTAGAGATTGGCTCTTACAGGTGCAATTTGGCCATGTTCCTAGCGGTAGGATGGCAAAGGCTGGCTCTGCTGGCTCGTTGCTGGCACCGTGAGTTCTAAGGCACGGTCCTCCTTTGGAAAGACCTAGAACCCTCGCCCCACCCCCACCACCCCCACCAACAGAGCAGGCTCCTCATTTCCTCCTGCCACCTCGAAAGCAGAAGACGTTCAGGTAGCCCCATGAGAGTATTGCTAGTGAGGCATCTGAAAGACAAGACCGTCTGGTTCCACAGTGAGTTATGGACACCATCTGATTGTAAGACCCCGAGATACGCCCCAGGGTGGACCACCTGACGCCAGGGGGATAAAGACAGAAGGGTCGCCTGGCCAGGTGTGGCTCAGTGGTTGAGCATTGACCTCTGAACCAGGAGGTCACGGTTCGATTTCCAGTCAGGGCACATGCCTGGATTTCGGGCTCGATCCCCAGTAGGGGGCGTGCAGGAGGCAGCTGATCAATGATTCTCTTATCATTGATGTTTCTCTCCCTCCCTCTCCCTTCCTCTCTGAAATCAATAAAAATATATTTAATCATAATAAATAAGAGTCCATGAGGGTACTTGCCCTGTCGGACAGGGGAGCCAAGTACTAGATCATTGGTCAGAACTGGGACCTTCTCCCCTCCCCTGGGTACATAGCTAAGCCTGTACCTACAGGACCCCAAAATCCACGCAGTGGGGATGTGGCTGCTCTCAAACACCTCAGTCATTTGGGGGGCCACCCTCACCATGAGTCAATAGGCTTTAGGGGCCCCACCCCACCCCTGCTGGGTGGCCCCAGCTCTGGACTCACAGGGCTTGGGGCTCTCCTCGTCGGAGGTGACATCCGGGTCAATGAGCTTCTCCTTCACCTTCTCCGTCCGCTCCTTGAAGAGCTTCACCAGCTCCTGCAGCCGCTCGTTGATGACGGCGCTGTTCTGGCTGGCGGAGGAGGACGCCCGGTCCTGGTCGCTATGGAAACACCACGTGGGAAGGGACCCCTGTGCCCCCGGCAAGAGCTGACCCCACCTGGCCTGCGGAGGTGGAACCCCTTGGACGTCAGAGCCCACTTTGTCACCTCCTGGCAGGAAGTCCCGCCTGGGAGTGAGGCCCCGGGCCCAGCTTTCAGAAAAGGCGCTGCGCAGCCTGGCCAACGTGGCTCCGTGGCTGAGCATCGACCTGAGGACCAGGAGGTCATGGTTCACATCCCGGTCAGGACACATGCCCGGGTTGAGGGCTCCATCTCCAGTGTGGGGGGTGCAGGAGGCAGCCAACCAATGATTCTCTCTCGTCATTGATGTTTCTATCTCTCTCTCTCCCTCTTGCTTCCTCTCTAAAGTCAATAAAAATATATTTTTTAAAAAAAGAAAATGTACCGTGCAGACGTTAAGTCAGATGGGCAGTTCTGAAAAAACTTTGATTCCACTGTGACTTAGGGGTGAACACAGCTCAGGGCTACCAGTCCTAGTGTGGGGTTCACCTGAGATACGTGTCTGGGACAGATTGGGGGGGCAGGGGCAGGCAGGGCTAGTTATTTAGGCTTCAGAAATAGCTGGAGGTGGGGAAAACAGTACAGATATATTATATATCTTTTTAACTTTCAGGAATTTAAACTATGAACTCACAGCAAGAGAAAGAGACTGAATGAATGAATGAATGAATGAATGAATGAACGAATGAATGAACGAGTCTGCCTGACATTCCACTCGGCGTGTAGCAAGGGCCCTGGGTGCCTGGACACAGACATGTAAGTCAGCTCTCCTCTGAGTGGCCTCCCTGTCCCCCTCGCTGAGCTGAGTGTAACACTGGTGTTTTCAGATCTGGAGACCCAGCCTCGTCTCACTTCTTAGAAGTCACTGGCAGAGGCTGCCTTGTGGTGTCCGGCTGGCATGGCTCCGTGGTTGAGGGTCAACCCATAAACCAAGAGGTCACAGTGCAATTCCCAGCCAGCGCACTTGCCCAGGTTGTGGGCTTGACCCCCAGTGTGGGGCGTACAGAGGTAGCCAATCAATGATGTTTCTCTCTCATGGATGTTGCTCTCCCTTTCCTTTCCTCTCTCTCTCTCAAAATCAATAAACACACATTTTAAAGCATCCAGGGTCCCCCCCGCCCACTCACCTCCTCTTGCCCACCCATCCCCCAGCCTTCTGACTCTCTGAGACCCCAGGCGAGGCCCCCACTCACTCTGTACCCTGCGGGGTGGGGGCGTCGGGCCAGGCGACCACAGGGGTCTCGGCCGGCGACAGCTCCTTCTCTTCCGCTTCCTCATCCTGGGAGGGCAGCCTCTTCCTGCGAGGACACAGTATGGAAGGGGCCTTCAGCGAGGGCAGGCCCTGGGGGAAGGGAGCCGACTTGGGCCCTTGCAGATCACCCAGAGCCAAATCCTGGGTGGGGATGGGGCAGGAGACGCTGCTGCCCAAGGGTCCTCACGTCCCTGCAGGGACACCGAAAGGGAGAGGAGAGGTTCGCAGCTGCTCTCTGACCTCAGTCTCCACATCCGTTCAAAGGCTGAGCATAAAAACAACAGCATTGACTTGGTCTCGGGCAGACCTGAGTTCGAATCCAGCCCTGCCTCTTCCCAGTGTGTGGCCTTGGCAAGTGACTTAAACGCTCGGAGCCACCTCAGTTTCCCCTTCTGTAAAACGGAACTAAACCCACCCAGCACAAGAAGAACCTGATCTCTCAGCTGGGCCTCGGCCTAAACATCCTCCTTCCTTCCCATCCCAGTCTAAAGTCACTGCCCTCATCTGGCCAGCATGGCTCAGTGGTTGAGCATCGGCCCATGAACCAGGAGGTCATAGTTCAATTCCCGGTCAGGGCACATGCCCAGGTTGTGGGCTCCATCCCCAGTAGGGGGCGTGCAGGAGGCAGTCCATCAATGATTCTCTCTCAATCACTGATGTTTCTCTTTCTCTCTCCCTTTCCCTTCCTCTCTCTGTAATCAATAAAAACATATTTTTAAAAAAAATTATTTTAAAAAAGGGGAGGTAGAAATCAGGCTTGTCACATTCTACCCCCTTCTAATATGCAGTTCAGGGTAGTAGGGACAGGGCTTCCCCGGAGGGTCCTCTATAGAGAATTAGGAGAACCAGCAAGGGAGGGCACAGTCCCGGTTCTAACCCCAACTCCCTGAGTGACCTCGGGCCAGCTGCTTCCCCTCTCTGGCCTCAGTCTCCTCATCTGCCAAATGGGCAGGTGGCACGGTGCTGCGGAAAGCCCATGAGAAGCATAAAAGGCGACCTGCGGGTCCCCGCGGCCGATCCCGGGACTGTGAGGGTGTCGGACTTGGCAGGAGACGGTGGCAGCCGCTCGGGTGAGGGTGGCTTGTCCTCCTCGATGAGGGGGTGGCTGTCAGCATCAGTGTCTTCCACCTGCACTTCCGGGTGCTCTTCTGTGGCAGGCACTTGGGGAAAGAAGGGAGGGGACAGAGAGAAAGAGAGAGAGAGAGAGAGAGAGAGAGAGAGAGAGAGAGGCCATAGACACAGGCTTGGAGCAGCCGCTGGCAGCCACCTCCCAAAGGGGCCCACACAGACCTCCATGCAGGATGCGCAAGGCACAGAGCCCAGAGGCCTCCGAGAGCCACGCGACCCCGGCCACCAGCCAGGACCCACAGAGGCAGCTGTGATGCCACAGAAGCCACCGGAGCCCCAGGACACGGCCTGGAGTCCAGGTCTCCAAAGCCCCACTGGGATTCCCTGGCCTGGTAAGCATCAAGGACCCAGGGTTGCAGGGGGTGGGGGTACAGCCTCAGAGAAGGCATGGGGAGCCTGGGGGGGGGGGCAGTCCCAGCGCCTGGCCTAGCACAGCCTGGCTCAGCTGCTTCCCTTCTCTGGGCCTCAGTGTCCCCATCCCAGGGAAGGGGGTGATGCCTTCCCAGGCCCGGGGATGAGAGGAGAAGGCACCAGGCCTCGCTCTCTTGAAGGCCTCAGGGGGCTATGTGGAGCGTCCTCCAGTCAAGGGCAACAGCCTGTCTTTGTCGTGAGCGTTACTGCTGTTGGGGGACCCGTTTGGGTATTTCTTTGTTTGTTTCTAAAGATATTTTTATTAATTTCAGAGAGGAAGGGAGAGGGAGAGAGAGACAGAAACATCAATGATGAGAGAGAATCATGGATCGGCTGCCTCCTGCACGCCCCACTCTGGGGATGGAGCCCACAACCCGGGCATGTGCCCCGGCCAGGAATCGAACCGTGACCTGCTGGTTCATAGGTGTGACACTCAACCACTGAGCCACACTGGCCGGGCGGTATTTCCTTGCTTTACTACATGCCAGGAACCCCCCAAATTCATCAACCCAACCCCTTCCCGACCTCTGAGAGGCCCACATCCCGAGACTGGTCCTCCCTGGGAGCCTGAGTGTGGCCCCACCTCAGGCTCCCTCCCCCACCACAGGGACTGCGGGGCCGGGTGTCCACTGTCCCAACGTGTCACTGGGAATATTTCTCAGGGTGTGGGGCTCCCGGGACCAGGGAGGACATGAGATGACGAGATGGCACAGAGCAGGCCAAGGACAGCAGAGCATGAGGACCTTCCTCTCGTCAACGCTCTGTAGGTCCTGGGTGCAGAGAGGGAGTGTCGGGCTAGTGCTGCTCTGGCCTTACACCTGTGTGGCCCCTCTCCTCCCCTCTGGCCCTTGGAGCAGGTCTCCGCCCGAGCCCCGCCGGCCGTCCTGTGCCACTGAAAATTGTCATCGCTTTGCTTTCAGTGTCTTCGTGGTTCTTTCTATCTGTGCCTTCTATTACGGTAAGGCAGGCCGGTTTTCATTGTTAGAGTAAAGGCAAGTTTCCTGCTTAGATGCACTTCATTAAGCCCGACCAGCGAGGCTCAATGGTTGGGCATCGACCTGTGAACCAGGAGGTCACAGTTCGATTCCCGGTCAGGGCACTTTGCCTGGGTTGCGGGCTCGATCCCCAGTAGGGGGCGTGCAGGAGGCAGCCGATCCATGATTTTTCTCTCATCGTTGGTGCTTCTATCTCTCTCTCCCTCTCCCTTCCTCTCTGAAATCAATAAAAATATATTTAAAAATAAATAACTAAATACACTTCATTACATTAAAAAGCGCATCGATTGGGAGGAAAACAGTAAGGAGATCAAAGCAGAGTTGATACAGACCTGCGTAAAACCCGGGAGTGATAGAGGGTGGGAGTCGGGGACCCTTTGGAGCAGGTGGTTGGAGGGCTTGCCCAGAAGACGGCAGCGGGGCGTCACCCCTTGTCATGAGGACGACTGGTGCCCCCTCGGCCTGCTCTGCCCACCCCGTGTTAGGAACAGGAGAGAAGGACCACAGTGGTCTCCGTCATGAAACGTCCAGCGCTCCCCCTGCTTGCTGACCTGGAGGCAGCCTGCCCCGTGCCAGCCAAACACACACAGATCGAAAGGGCAAGTGGGCGGGGCGGGCTTGAGTTAAGGCAGAAAACGACAGGGGTCAGCCCAGAGGGGTCGGTGTGTCCCTGAGCACTTGGTCATTAGACAGCAAGTAGCAGGCCTGCCGGCCGCGGAGGGCACCTTGTCACAGTGGAGCAGAGCCGGGCGGCCGTCCTCCGCACTGGCCCCGGGGGAGGCCGCTCCTCCTGAGCTGCCTGCTCTGCCTGCCGGCACCTGGGGCCTCTGCTTCCCTGACATGGAATTTGCCGGGCAGATACCAACAGTCCTCGGAAATTCCAGCTCCCGGCAAACTCTCAAGGTCAGAAGATTCTGTCTGCAACAGACTCCACATTCCTCTCCTGCCCCATTTCCCCTCCACTCACCTCTCCCCTTCCCAGCTCCCTGCCCCCAGTCTCTGGGCCTGGGGATCTGAGTGGCTAGTTTACACTAGCGTGTGAGTGACTATTTGTACAAATGATGATGATCTGGAGAAAGCAATGTTTAACTCCAAGACATGAATTGCTAATTGTGGGACTTGAGGCACAGGGAGAAGGAGACTAAAGCCCCTCCAGTCACCACAAAGCATGAGGAAGGCATTGATCAGCAGCGGAAGGGTGGTTTCCCACGAGCCCAACTAGTGGTCCACGTGCTGACCACGGCACCCACACTGGGAAATAGCCCAGGCCATGCAGAAGCACACATCACGGAGCGAGCATGCTGGGTGGGCGGGCTCACGCTACCTAGGCGACGGACGGAGCTCCTGGTCTCCTTGGCGAAGCTGGAGTTGGACAAGGTCGTCCTCCGGGAGACGAGGACGGGGATGCGGGTGATTGGGGGGCAGTAGCTGGGCACATTGGGGAGGTGCTCCACCGGGTTTAGGGGGGCCAGCCTAGGGGCCACCTGGCCAGGCGGCTGGTCCCGGACCCGGCCATTCAGCTCCATGTCCCGGCCTGGGGTAGCCATGGTGCTGGGGCCAGGGGGGTCTCAGGCAGAGGCAGGACCCTGGGGACTGCAATGAGGAGCACAGAGTTGGGGGAGGCAGGGGAGCGGGGGTCTCCCCACCGGCGCCAACACAGACCAGCCCGGCGCCCGGCTGCACCTGTAGCAGCTGCTCCCAAAATCAGGAGCATCACTCTTGTCCCTGGAACTCGATGTCAAATGCATCACCACGTGTTATGGCTGGTCCTCCCCACAGCTCCGAGGGGCAGCCTGCAGCCCCTAGCCCAGGGGTGGGCAAACTTTTTGACTCCAGGGCCACAATGGGTTCTTAAACTGGACCGGAGGGCCGGAACAAAAGCATGGATGGAGTGTTTGTGTGAACTAATATAAATGCAAAGTAGACATCATTACATAAAAAGGTACGGTCTTTTTTTTTTTTTAGTTTTATTCATTTCAAACGGGCCGTAGTTTGCCCACGGCTACAACTCCTTGCACTCTGTTAACCAACCCCCGATAGCATTTCCCACCTCAGGCTCAAAAAAGTCAGGATCAGCCGGGCGGGCACGGCTCCGTGCTTGAGCGTCGACCTATGAACCAGGAGGTCACGGTTTGATTCCCGGCCAGGGCACATGCCCGGGTTGCAGGCTCGATCCCCAGTGTGGGGGGTGCAGGAGGCAGCTGATTCATGATTCTCTCTCATCATCTCATCATTGATGTTTCTATCTTTCTCTCCCTCTCCCTTCCTCTCTGAAATCCATAAAAATATTTTTTTTAATAAAAGCTCAGGAGAGGCATGGAGTCTAGGACTTGCCCTTAGCAAGCTCTGGTCCTAATTTTCACTGTAATCTGTTACACGTTTGAGCCAAGCCCCTGCTGGGTGGCAGCCCAGAGAGTTGGGTGGTGGGAGAGGGGCGGCTGGCTGGGAGCAGGCTTCCCCAGGCTGCTGGAGTCCTGGGCCTCAGTGCAATCCCCCGGGCCCTTGAACTCCATCACCCGCTTTGATGATGTGGTCCCGGGCGCAGAGGGTGGTTTGCCTGAGGATGGGGCAGGTGGAGGGGGACAGGGATGGTGGAGACGGAGGGAGAGGAGGGGGGTGGCCCTGCACACTCTCTGCCACCTTCTACCCAGCACCACTTACCTCCTGAGCTGGCGGCTATGGCTTCTTCCTGTAAAATAGACAGTGGAAACAGAAGCTGAGACCAGCACGCCACACCCTCCCCCACCCCCCCCACCCCCAGCCCTGTCCAGCGCTTCTCCTGGGGAGTCCAGGGAGGCGGCCTCCACCTCGTAGAGGCAGTGCGTACAGGAGCCCCAGGCCCCACCCCGACCTGTCACATGTAATGAGCCCTGTGTGTGTGGGGACACAGGCACCAGAGCAGCCACACAGTCCTCCCCACAGGCACTGCACAACTGTGCACAGCCTGCAGGGGAGGGGATTAGCCCCATTTCACAGAGATGGCCACTGAGGCCCAGCGTGGGGCGGTGACTGGTCCAGGGTCACACAGCCACGTGAGGACTGAAGTGCGGGTCCAGCGGCTCCTCACCCACTCCACCGAAGGCCCCTCCTCACACCATCTGACCCCTGGTACCAGCGGGCTTTGCGGTCCCACCACCCTGCTCCCTCTGTCTGGCGGGATCTCACACATTGAAAACCCCCCATAAACGAAGGAGTCAAGGTCTCAGCCCTTCCACCGAGGCCAGCCCGCACCCCAGGGCAGCCGGGGCCAGGCCCGGTGCTGCTCCATACCTGGCAGGAGGCCCTCTGGGTGACCGTCCTGTCTGTGCCGCCCAGGTCCTCGCTGGCCTCTGCCACCAGACAGCTATCCAGCAGGACACTGTGACCCGGAGGGAAAAGGGCTGGGTCAGGCTGAGTGCCCGCTCTGTGCCGGGAGCTGGGTACCAAGATGCCCTCGAATAGGTCCTGCCCTAGTGAGACTCCCACACCGGGAGGCGGCAGATGCACGTCCTGCTAACGATCCCCGAGTCTGAGACATGTGCTGGGATAAGGGGCCGTGAAGGCCACGGCCACAGTTCGGCCCAGGAAGGAAGGCTTCCCAGAGGCGGTGGCCTGTGAGCTCAATCTCAAGGATGATGAATGAACCACGAGGAATAGGTGGGGAAGGGTGTCCAGGACGGGGGAACAGCATGTGCAAAGGGAAGTGTGCAGGACGGCTAAGGAACTGTCCTCTGGGTGTGATCCAAGGGCACTGTCCAGTGTTCACAACAGATGCCCAGCATGTCCCTCTGAAGTCTCCTGGCTCCCTTGGTGCTGCAGGCAGGGCAGGGAGTCTGAGAAAAGGGAGGCCCAGAGAGGTGAACTGGCCTGGCCAAAATCACACAGCAAATTGTCACACGCCACACAAACCCTCAAACACAGGCCCTGCGTTTGTTCCCACGCGTGAGCTCAGAGCTCCACTGCAGTATAGAATCCCCTAGAAGTATTGTGGAAACTATGCCCTCCTTGGGCCTCAGAGCACACAGGCCCAGGAAATGCGCTTCCCACAGCCCAGTCAGGGGCTGCCCAGGGTCCTGGCCTTTCCAGAATCAGGCCGGGAAGTCAACGTGTGGCTGTGGGTAAGTCACCGGGACGCCCTTGGCTGCCTCTATTTGCTCGCCTGTCAAATGGGTAGGACCTGCTCAGCCTGCACAGCCTGACTTACTTGGGTGAGCTCAGAGGGCCCCTGAGAATCTCATGGAAAAGTCAAAAAAGACTCCCCATGTCAGGGGTCATTCTCGATTCTCTAACGACCGGTCAGCAGCTTGGTCTGGGGTCCCAAGTGTGAGCGCAGAGCCAGCCTGACCTGGGACGGGCAGCTCTGCACCTGCTGGCAGACACCCCTGTCTCAGAGCCTCGGGCCTCTCACCTGGGAGCTGGGATTAATGACAGACGCTGCAGTGCGGCGTCCGGCACAGAACACAAGTGCTAGTCCAATGGCAGCTGCTCTTAGGCTCGTCCTTGTCACCATCACCATTAGTCCCAGAGGAGCACCTTCTGCAGGGTTAGGAGTCACCCCCGTGGATTGGGAACGTTTTGCACAAACATCTCCAGCTATAGAGACGCCTCACCAGCCCTACCCTGGCCCTGCCAGCACTACCAGGGCTGTTGGGGGACCTATGTACCCACAGTCATGGTTGCCTCTGGCCTGCAGTGTGCTCAGTGCCTGCCAAGACCCCTTTCTGCCGGGCCCAGAAACAGCAGGCTATCAACTTCTGGAAGGTTCCCAAATCCCAGGGAATTCTACATGGAGGGTCAAAGAGACGGGCTAAGGTGGGCATCCCAGAGGAGCTACCCCTCCCTCCCCGCTCTCTACATGAAAGGGTTAAAGGTGCAGGGAGGAGCCAAGGCAGCCAGCTTGCCAGGGTCTGCCAGCCCCCTCCTCCCCCAAGTCACCCAGCAGGCTGTGCCCCCAAATTAAGGTCCTCACAGTCACCTTCCGCCTTCCGCAGACTCTTCATGGCACCCCAACCCCAAAAGAAGGAAGGGGGAGCCCTTAGGAGATGCAGGCACCTACTTGGGTCTCACTGGCTTTGCCGACCAGGACAGCCATGGTGTAGGAGCTCAGCGGGGGGCGGTGCCATTCATCCCAGGGCTCCAGGCAGCACGAACAAGTGGAGAATTGGACAGTCTACCAGCCCACCAGCCCGAGCCCGCGAGCCTGCGCCTGCCAGGCTGGCTCTGGAGCCAGTGCGACCCGGGTGGCGGATGAGCCACCAATTCTTCCTGCTTCTAATCAGATTGTGCGGGCGACTCTGCAGAAGCGCCCCCAGGGAGGCCAGGTGGGGACCAAAAGGCTGTGGTTGCTAGGAAGAGCCGAGCTGTTGCCGGCAGAGACCTGGTCGCTAGGCGACCATCTGCCAGCGTCATCAGTCACCCCTGTGGCTCCACAAAGCTGGCCGAGAGCATCCTTCCCCCACCAGTGACAGCCCAGCGGCTTGCCCACGCAGACCCCTCTGGCCCTGGCTCTGGGATCGCTCGCTCTCTCACCACAGAGCCCCCATCCCTGCCTGAGGTCCGGGCCCGAAACTTCCCTGAGTTTGAAACTCTGGGTAAACATGTGTGCAGGCGTGTGTATGCGGCTGCAGCGTTTGTGGGTATCTGTAGTCATGTGCTGTGTGCATGAGCATGTGTGCAGGGTGCCGTGTGGGTATCTGCAAGTGTGTACATGTGTGCCTGTGAGCACACATGTGCGAACATGTGTGTGTTGTGTATGTATGCAGACTTATGTGTCTGTGCCTGTGTGCTGGTGTGTGTGACAGTGCAGACACCTGTATGTACCTGTGTGCATGAAAATACATGTAGTTAGCGCATGTAGAGGTGTGTGAGCACATTGGATCACTGGCCTCAAGAGCCATGGCACAGAAGCCATGGCACAGAAAGGGGTTTTCAGGCCTGAGTGTTGGGCACGCAGGTGTAATGGGGGAACAACTCCCCCACTATGCGCCCCACACAGAGGCAGGTGGAAGGCAGAAGGCAAACAAGGCTGCACTAAGGGAGCTGGCAGCCTCAAAGGTCCTCACCCAGGGCAAGAGCGGTCACCTGTCCGTGAGAGCAGCCTGGCTTGGGGGCCCAGAGGGCAGAATTAGGACCAGGTGACAGAAATCATAAGGAAGCATGCTTAGTTTTGGTGGAAGAAATCACTTCATAAGCCAGGGGTGCATAGGGACGGAATGGATGCACAGCCTCTGCAAGGTGGTGAGCTCCCCATCACTGGAGGGAAGCAAACAGCTGTGTGGCCTCTGGCCGAGGATGAAAAGATTACATGCGACCCCGGGCAAGGGTAGACTAAATGTAGATGACCCTGAGCAGGCTCCTATGCTGGCCTCAGGGTTTAACTCTTTCCTGGCAGGGACTAAAAATGACCCTCAGTGGGGATTCGAACATCCTGCCGCCCCCATTCTCACAGCCGGGCCCGTGACCACCCTGCAGGGCGCTGCTGTTCTCCCCCAGCTGACGGGTGTGGGGAGAAGCTCTGTGCAGGGATGTCCTTGCCCCTAAGAGCAGCAGAGCCTGTGTCCCTCACACTCATGGGGCTACCCTGCCTCAGGCTACGGCCAGAGGAGCCGGTCAGAGAGGAAGGATGTGGGCCAGGGGGTACCACAGAGGGCAGAGTGACTGGGAATAGTGCCGGGGGTGGAGCCAAGGGACCCATTCAATCAGTCTGGCCTGATGGGAATACAGGCTCCTCCTGCCTCAATCTCTCCACAACGCTGCTGCCAGATCATGCCCCTCCCCTGCTCACAAACCTGCAATGGCTCCCCATTGCTCCCAGGAAATTCAGTTCAAGGCCTTTACAATATGGCCCACTGCCTCTGAAGGATTATCATCTAAGAGCCCCCCCTCCCTGGGCCACTCCTTAGCCCAGGGCATAGCGCCTTACTCAGGCTCCTCCTCCTCCTCCTCCTCCTCTTCCTCTTCCTCCCCATCCTCCTCATCTTCTTTGTCCTCTTGAATCCAGGAAAACTCCCTGAAATGAGATCAGAGGCAAGAGGTGAGCCTCCCTGAAGATGCACCCCGAGTCCACCTCCTGCCCCAATTTTCAGTAAGAAGTCCTGTGACCCCTTGAGATCAGACCTGAACCCCTCAACCAAGAATCAACCCGGGAACCCCCACCCGAGGAGCCCCAGACTCTCGCTAACAACATGGCACGAGGGGCCTGTCTCAGCCCCTGATCCTCTCTGGGCCTCAGTTTCCCCCTCTGTGCAATGCGGGGCGCGGGGCTGAGGACCTGAGACTTCCTGTGGCTGTACTCACGGGCATGCACAAGGGTGCTTGTTGCAGAATTACTTACAACAACAAATTTTTGGAATCAACCTAAATGTCCATCAATAGTAGACAGGTTAAATCAACGCTGGCACATCCGCATGACGGAATAGGATGCATTTATTTAAAAATAAAAAGTGTGAGCAATCTCTATGTACTGAAGGGGAAAGATCTCAAGATAAATGGGTAAATGAATATAGCGAAGTCAGCTAGGTAGGTGCATGCTATGCTTTGTGAATAAAAATCAAAATAAAAGGAGGGGGCGTCCAAGCTTGCATGTGCTCAGATGGTCTCTGGAATGGCACAGAGGAACCTGGGAAAGGGATGGGTGTCAGGGGGGAGGAGGGAGGGAGAGGCAGGCTTGGCCCACCCTCTGTGCCCTTTTAAGTCCTCGAGGTTCTGTACTAAGTGCCTGTTGTCCTCCCAGTCATTCCTCAGGGCCTCCCCTGGCTCCCACCTGGACATCTCTTCCCCGGCCTCATTCTCCTCCGCGTAAGCTGACGCCACCGCTGCTGCTCCCTGCGGGCTGGCGCTGCCATCCTGAGCCTGGTCCTCCTCCCAGTGAGGGTCCACCTCTTCTAGGATGAGATCACCGGGCTCTTCTTGGCCTCCAGGGAGGATGCTGACTGCAGGGGACACAGGGTGTGGGGGAGAGTGGGCTTGGGGCTCAGTCCCAGGGACCATCCAGGGAGCCCTGGCCATCGCCAGCCATGCGCCAGCCCTCAGCCAAGCAGTGGACACGGCGCCATGGTCAGCGGGACTGTTAACAACTGGATCGGCGCTAAGCGATGGGCTGCAGCCCGCGATCAGTCACCCTGTCTCCTGCCATTCGTTTTCCTGAGACCGAGCTTCCGTTACAGCGAGTCTGTGTCTCTCCTTCTTGGCGTCTGTGCAGAAGCAGAAACAATGCTTCTCACCACAGTGTGGCAGGTGATGCCAAAAGACCGAGGCCGAGGTCCCCCCCCCGCACAGCAGGTGCAGGGAGCCTGAATGTCCCCACGATGCAGAGAGTGCTTGCCCGCTGCCTGCTCTCTCTACGCCGCCCCTTGGTGAGGGCACACTACCCGCCTGTCATCTCAGCACCTGCCCCTGGGCGTCTTCTTCTCCCTCCTGGACCGAGAGGCTCCACCCACCCCCCAACTTTCTCATGGAGGTGGTCCCACCTTCAGAGAGAATGTGCAGTTTTCCCCATTTCTCCATGTACCCTGTCCCCTGACAGTGAAAACTCTGTGCGCTGTGAGTTTGGCGGACGTGGGTGCAGGGGAGACTCATCAGGAACCTAAGCGCACCCCCAGGCAGGGAAAGGAAGAAAGGGGGAGGTTGCTGGGATACCAGGTGTTTCCAAAAAGCTCAAGGGGTCTAGGTGGCCCTCACGCCAAGCACGCATGACTAATGGTGACTTACATATGTTTTTTATTGATTTCAGAGAGGAAGGGAGAGAGAGAGAAGGAGAGAGAAACATCAGTGATGACAGAGAATCACTGATCAGCTGCCTCCTGCACATCCCACACTGGGGATCAAGCCCACACCCTGGGCATGTGCCCTGACCAGGAATTGAACCGTGACCTCCTGGTCCATAGGTCGATGCTCAACCACTGGGCCACGCCAGCTTGGCTGCTTACGCTCTTTAAAGTCAATAAGAGCATCTGCTGCTGTCCACTGGCAGTCCCCACCCTGAGGCCAAGCCTAAGAAGAACGGCTCCTGGGAAAACCTGTGTCCCATGGGAACACCAACTCCGTGACAGGCTCTGTGCTGAGACAGTCCTCTGTGGGCCTCCCCAGCCTTCAGGTGGGAGTCCTGCTGTCCAGCCTCAATGCCACAGGCTGTGCCCCCTGACCCTCCCCTGCTCTGGTGTCCCCAAAAGGCAGCTCTGGGACAGTGGAAGGGAGTCTGATCCCCCCTCGTCCTGCCAGGGGTCACTGTTCAAGGAGGATTGGGGGATCAATGGCCACTCATTCCCGGTCCCTGCAGGTCTTCTCTTCAGGACACCCTTCTTTCCTTCCATCCATCCGTCCGTTTGTCCATCTGTGCTCTCCCAGGCTCCCTTCTCCCCTGTTTCAGAGGCCTCCCGCTGCTGCCACCCCTGAAACAAAGGAGAAGACAGAGGGTGGGTGGCCAGGTGGCCAGGCGGAGGGGCTGAATGAGTGAGTGCCTGAGTGGGTGAAGGCTGGGGAGGCTGGGGCAGAGTGGCGAGAAGGGGGACACAGCCCCTCAGGACCCCCAAAGCATAACTCAAGCCCTAACTCCTGTCCCCTGTGAATGTGACCTTGTGCCCTTATAGGAGAAAACAGGGTGAGCGGACAGAGGAAGAGGCAGAGCCGGGGAGGCAGCTGCAAGCCCGGGGACCGAGTGCCCGCAGCCACCAGAAGCGGGGAGAGAGGCATGGACGGTGTGCCCCTCAGAGCCCCAGGAGGAGCCACCCCTGCCAGCACTTTGACCTTGGACTTCTGGCCGCGTGAACTGGGGGATGGCACGATTCTGCTGCTGGAAGGCACCCAGTCTGCAGCCCCCGGCAACTAACACCGGGTCCCTGGTAGGGGTGTTGAGTTGCCCCATGGCGGCCCCAGGGCCCTCTGCTGACCCCTGACCCCCACGCTCCGGCACACAGGGAGGCCCTGTGTGGGCTGGCTGAGAATTCTGCCTCCCTCCAGAGGAGCAGAGAGAGGGTTAAGAGGAGCCAGTGGGCCCAGCCGGTGTGGCTCAGTGGTTGAGCATTGAACCAGGAGGTCACGGTTCGATTCCCAGTCAGGACACATGCCCGGGTTGCGGGCTCAATCCCCAGTGTGGGGCGTGCAGGAGGCAGCTGATCAATGATGTTTCTCTTTCATCACTGATGTTTCTATCTCTCTCTCTCCCTCTCCCTTCCTCTCTCTGTCAATAAAAACATATTTAGGGGGAAGAGGAGCCAGGGGCCCCACCCTCAAAGCTCTCAGCCATCCCAGGGAGGGGTCTCTGTCCCAGGGCACGTTTTCCGTGAGGTAACCTCAGCCGGACTGAGAAGCTGCTGCCAGGCCACGTGGTCTCTCGTCTCCGAAAGTCCACAAGAACTTGTCCGGTGACCTTGGGCACAGCGCTACCTGCCCCGACAGGATGGGGGTCCCCGCTCTATGTCCTCCAGGGCGGCCATGAGCTCCACGAGACTGTGGAGTCCTGCTCTGAGGCCTCCCTGCCAATGTCAACACAATCACACAGACCCCCTCGCCCCCTACAGCCGCTGTCAGACCCGAGCTCCACAGTCAGTGGGAGGCCCTGAGCCCTGCAGTCCCAGTGCCCGGATCCAGGTGGAATAGGGCCACCGCCCTCAGGGCCTGAGCGCTGCTTTGCCCACCTCGAGCATTCATCACAGGCCTGGCACATAGCAGGCCCTCCTTTACATGTGTGAGCAAGTGAATGAGCAGATGAATGAACGGATGGATGGGAGGATGGATGAATAGATGGGTAGATGGATGGGTGGGTAGATGGATGGGTGGGTAGATGGGTGGATGGATGGGTGGGTGGGTGGGTGGATGGATGGGTGGGTGGGTGGGTGGATGGATGGATGGATGGATGGATGGATGGATGGATGGATGGATGGATGGGAGGATGGATGGATGGATGGATGGATGGATGGATGGATGGATGGGTGGATGGATGGGTGGATGGGTGGATGGATGGGTGGATAGGTAGATGGATGGGTGGATGGATGGATGGATGAATGCCCTGTCCTCCACAGGCCTTTCCTGAGGCCACAAAATGAAAGACGAGCAGATTTTGGGCCCTAGCCCACCCCTCCTGCCTCAGCCTCTCCCCGAGTCCCGATGCAGGTCTGAGACAAAAGGCAACACACTCACCTACCTAACCTGGTCACAGGTAAGGGGATACCCTCCCGGTTCAAGGCAGCTGAAGTCTGTGGGGTCCAGTTCCCTGTCCGTCTCCCCTCATCCCTCAACCAGAAACTCTGCTCGGCCAAACCCGCCGGCCCAGCTGCCAGGGGCAGTGGGGAGCTCTCTCTGGTGTCCCAGCAGGACGGGCTCCTCTGCATGGAAGCTCAAGACAGGCCAAGTTCATCCCCTCCTCCCCCTCCCCAGCCTCCAGCAGAGCCTCCAGCCACCATCTGCTCTGGGCCCTGCTCTGGCTCCCTGGCCAGGCTGACCTGAGGCGGGGCCTCGGAGCACAGGCTCCTTCAGGAAACCCTGACTGTGCCCCCTGAGCGGGTGCAGGCCTGGCAGGGGACAGCCCACGGCCCCTGTGCGCTCAGGCCAAGCAACCCTCCCTGAGATGCACGGGAGCACCCACCAACGTGTCACTTACTGGTCTGCACGTCACATGTCCCTGGGCCGTCAGGCTCCTGCACGGGGAGAAAGGGGAAAACCATGTGGCCTCCCCACCAACTTCCCCGGTTCCACAGTCCCTCCCGCACACGCAGGGGCAAGAGACCTTCCTTTTCCCCGCCAGGACACTTCCCCGCCCCCCACCACCACCACCGCACCCAGGACACGCAGAAGATCCCCTTGCTCCGGGCCCCTCGCTTCCCTGCCTCCGAGGTTGGCTCTGCTCCAGCCGCTCTCCACCCCCTACCACAGCAGGACAGGACCCAGGCCGCCCACCCCCAGTTCCAGGTGCTTCTATGAAGGTGTCCAGTTGTCCCCAAGAGAGAAGGGCCAGGGGCCAGGTTCTTGGAGGGGAAGAGGTGACCGGGGCCCTGCTCCCCAAACCCACGCACGCTGGAGTCCTAGGCTGTCAGGAGGCACACAGAGCCTCGGGCTTCCTACAGCCCATTCTCCCAGAACGTGCAGGTCCTCTCTTACCTCTGGCCTCTGCACATGCTGGTCCTCTGCCTGAGGGCCCTTTCCAATCGCCCACATTCACTGTCACCCACCCACCTCCTACTCCTTCAGGGCTCAGCTCGCAGGCCACCTCCACTGGGAAGCCTTCTGTCATGCTCCCGGGAGGCTCCTCCTCTGCACCCCACATCCTCTCTGCTCCACCACGGTAGCACCTCCCCCACCGACTGTGACCTCTCACAGGCAGGGCTGAGCCAGCCAGCTCAGCCCCACAGACACGGTGCCTGAGAGAGTGCAGAATGGCGGGGCAGGGCAGACTGGCGGGCTGGGCGGGCTGGGCTCCCGTGGCCGGCGCCCTTCTTCCTTCTGTATGATGGCCCCCCCGAGACAGACCAACCATCCCACTCCTGCCCCCATCCGGCCCTCCCTCCCCTAGCCCAGCACCCACCTGCTCCCCAGCCTTCCCACGGAGCACGGGCTGCGGCAGGGCCATCTGCAGTCTATGCAGGAGCCACGCCACCAACCTGTGGGTGGGAGAGAGTGGCCATGTCCAGGGGGGAAAGTGACACCCCAGGCAGACAGCAAGGCCCCCAGAAGGCAGACCAGAACCCAGGCCTCCAGCCCCAAAGACCATGGTCCCTCTCCCCGCCTCCTCCTTAGGCAAGTCTCAGGCTACTGCTCAGGCACCAGCAGGTAGCTCAGGCTCCCCGACCCCCACCCCAACCCGCTGCAGGTGCCCCTAGGCCCCTCACCCATTGCCAGGTGGGGAACTGGTCAGTACCTAGCCCGATTTTATTTTATCTTTTGTATATATTTGTATTGATTTCAGAGAGGAAGGGAGAAGCGGAGATAGAAACATCAATGATGAGAAAGAACCATGGATTGGCTGCCTCCTGCATGCTCCCGACTGGGGATCGAGCCCACAACCTGGGCATGTGCCCTGACTGGGAATCCAACCATGACCTCCTGGTTCATAGGTCAATGTGCAACCACTGAGCCACGCCGGCCAGGCCCTAGCCTGATTTTAAATGCATGTATCCTTTGGCCCAGGCTGAGAAGGTGCTGCTGAGGTGGCCCTGGGCAGGGGCCCTGGAAACCCCTTTGAGTTTTCTCCCAGGGGCATCTGTCACTTTTATAATTTTAAAAAGAGTTTGGTGAAGGTTGGGTGTTGGGCTGCTCCCCACGGGAGTGTGGCATTTAGGGGGCTCACCTGGCAGTGTCTCCGGGTGGTGGCAGGGAGGAAGCCTGGAAGCCGGGCTGGGGCTCCTCCTGGGGCTCCTCCTGGGGCTCCTCCGGGCTCCTCCTCAGCCTCCTCCTCGGGCTCCGGGGGGCCAGGAGTGGGCAGGGGGGGACTCTCCGGGGCCTGCAGCACGGGCTCCGTTTCCAAGGAGCACCCTGGGGTCTCTAAGCAGCAGGGAGAGAAGGAGATTCAAATGACATGGGACCCCTTAAGGGCACAGGGGACCAGACTGAGGGGTAACCATGACCGAATGGGGAGCCCCTTGGGATCCCCCAACCATCCCCATCAGCAGACAGACATGGGACTGAGGCCCAGGGAGCAGAAGGACTTGTTCAAGGATTCGCTAGGCTGTCCTAGGCCACTGGCTTCCCAGCCTGGCCTGGGGAGGGGGTCCTAGTGCCCCCACAATAGGCCAGCAAGCCCTGACCGCCCCCCCCCCCAGCCGGGATCCCTAGGCCCCAGTGCTACCCCACCCAGCCTGTGACCATCTCAGACAGCCCCTTCGCAGGTCCCCTGCTGTACCTGGGCCCAAGGCAGCGTCTGCAGGCTCGTCTCTGCAGCCCTGGATCATAAGCAGGGAGAGAGGTCACAGAGCAAGGCGGGCCCCACGCACCCCTCCCCTGGCCAGCTGTGCGCCCGCCCCCCTTCCCCTGAACCCAGCCCCACCTCCATCACTCCTGCCATCAGGGACCCTCCAGGGACGGGGTGGGGACAGATGGCCTGACACCCCAGAAGCCCGCCCACCTTCCCCTGAATCCAGCCCCTCCTCCATCACTCCTGCCATCAGGGGCCCTCCAGGGACGGGGTGGGGACAGACGGCCTGAGACCCCAGAAGCCCGCCCAGGTGGTCAGCTTCCTGCCGCCCCTTTTCCTCCACTTACCTCGGACATTTTTGGAGGCTGAGGCAGCACTTTCTCCAGGTGCTGCTCCAACCACCTGAGCAGCCAGGGCACAGGCCTGTAGAGCGGCCGGTGGTCAGCCAGGCGGCCCAAGGAGTGGCCAGCCATGCTGTCCTGACCGCCTCACCCAGCCCCTCCCAGCCCTCGGCTCCCATTCTGCCCAGTGGGAGCCTTGTACTGAATATTCTCAAAGGACCTCAGGCCTGGCCCGTGTGGCTCAGTGGTTGAGCATCAGCCCAGGAACCAGGAGGTCACGGTTCGATTCCCACAGAGGGCACAAGCCCAGGTGGCCGGCTCAATCCCCAGTGGGGGTTATGCAGGAGACAGCCGATCGATCAGTGATTCTCTCTCATCACTGATGTTTCTATCTCTCTCTCCCTCTCTCTTCCTCTCTGAAATCAATAAATATATATGCATATGTTTTTAAAAGAATGAATGAGGGAAGGGTTGAACGAACGGGTAAATGGAGGTGAACACCTGACTGGATTTCCCGTAGAGATTGCGAACTGGAGGCGTCAGGCTTATTTGGGGAGCCCACGCCGTTCTAACAACTTTTCAATGACTTGCAGTGTGACATTAAAGCCTACATTTCCAGCATCTCCCCTTTTTTGCAATTACAGTTTACACCCAATATTATTTTGTATTCGCTTCGGGTGTACAGCGTAATATGCTTTACACAGTGCTCCCCCCATTCCCCCGTACCGCCTGCCACCATACATGGTTATTACAGTACTACTGCCTATCTCCCCTGGGCTGGCCCACGACTACTCTGTAACTACCAAACTATACTTCCCAACCCCCCCACCTTTTCCACCCAGTCCCCCAGCCCTCCTCCCCGCTGGCCACCAACAGTCTGTTCTCTGTATCTATGAGTCTGTTTCTGTTTTGGTTGTTCACTTATATTGTTACTAGAGGCCTGGTGCACAAAAATTTGTGCACTCGGGAGGGGGGGGTGCAGGGGGGAGTCCCTCAGCCCAGCCTGTCCCCTCTCGCAGTCTGGGACCCCTCGGAAGATAACGACCTGCTGGCTTAGGCCTGCTCCTGGGTGATAGAGGGCAGGCCCAATCCCTAGGTGCAGCCCCTGGTCAGGCTCAGAGCAGGGCTGATTGGGGAGTTGGGGCACCGCCCCCTGTCATGCACAGAGCAGGGCAGATTGGGAGGTTGTGATGCCACCCTCAGTCACGCTCAGGGTAGGGCCGATTGGGGGGTTGGGGCACCGCCCCCTGTCACACTCAAGGCAGAGGTGATGGGGAGGTTGCGGTGCCACCCCCTGTCACACACAGAGCAGGGCGGATCAGGGGGTTGGGGCGCCACCACTCTCACACTCAGGGCAGGGCCGATGGGGAGGTTATGGCTCTACCCCGTCACACACAGAGCAGGGCCCCTGGGGGGAGGGGGGTTGGGGCGCCGCACCCTGTCACACACAGAGCCGCAGGGCGATCAGGGGGGGTTGGGGAGCTCCCCCCTATCAGGCACAGAGCAGGGCTGATCAGGGGGTTGGGGTGCCTTCACCTGTCACGAACAGAGCAGGGTGGATAGGGAGGTTGTGGCCCTGCCCCCTGTCACACACAGAGCCACAGGGCGATCAGGGGGTTTAGGCACTGCCCCCTGTCACGCTGATCCCGGTGCTGGGAGGCATATTACCCTTTTACTATATAGGATTGAGGCCTGGTGCATGGGTGGGAGTCGGCTGGTTTGCCCTGAAGGGTGTCCTGGATCAGGGTGGGGGTCCCCACTGGGGTGCCTGGCCAGCCTGGATGAGGGGATGATGGCTGTTTGCAGCTGGTCACACACCCTTCAGGGTGGGGGTCCCCACTGGGGTGCCTGGCCAGTCTGGGTGAGGGGCTGAGGGCTGTTTTCAGGCTGGTGGGTGACTGAAGCTCCCAACTGCTCCTTTTTTTCTTTTTCTTTTTTTTATTCTGGGCCAGCTTTAGCTCTGACTCCAGCTCTGAGGCCTCTGCTGCTGAAAGCAGGTATCTGGTTTGTTTTGGTTCTATAATCGAAACACTGTATAACTCCAGCTCTGAGATCCCGGGCCAGCTGAAAGCAGGTTTCTGGGGTTTTGTTTAGCTTCTATATTTGTAACTATGTTTCAAACTGCAGACTCAGAGGCCGGCAAGGCAGGCAGGGAACGTTGGTTTCCTCCGTCACTGAAGCAAGCAAGCCTCATGTTAGCTTCAAGCTGCCTGGCTGCCGGCCGCCATCTTGGCTGGCAGTTAATTTGCATATCGCCCTGATTAGCCAATGGGAAGGGTAGCGGATGTATGCTAATTACCATGTTTCTCTTTTATTAGATAGGATTCTGATTCCACATCTAAGGGAAACCATATGGTACTTGTATTTTCTAGCTTCTCTTGAAAAACTGGAGGATCTGGCCTCCCTAGGCCCGCACTCCTACAGGGCAGAGGCACCTGGAACTGAGCAGGCCCCTCCCTGGAGAAGGACACGGGCTCCTCACCCAGCCTGTCCTCCTGATGACAAGGCAGCCACCCCCTCAGCCACCTCTGACAAGTTCCACACTGTTGACAACTACGAGGCCAACCTAGGTGCCCCCATGTCTCCCACAGTGGCCCAGGCTCTGCCTCTGGGCTCCACCCGGCATCGCCTACACCCGTGGTCGGCAAACTGCGGCCCGCGAGCCACATGCGGCTCTTTGGCCCCTCGAGTGTGGCTCTTCCTAAGCCTTAGGAGTATCCTAATTAAGTTAATAACAATGTACCTACCTATATAGTTTAAGTTTAAAAAATGTGGCTCTCAAAAGAAATTTCAATCATTGTACTGTTGATATTTGGCTCTGTTGACTAATGAGTTTGCTGACCACTGGCCTACACGAAGCCCACCTTGTGAGGAGCTCACCCACACCTCTTCCTGTCCTCAGAAGGTGTCCCTGCCTGGGGATCTCCCAGGAATCAACACAACCAGCCATGGGCAGCACAGGACCCATAGCCCCATTTTGTGGATGAGAAAACTGAGGCCCAGAAGAGACCAACCGCATGTCCAAGGTCACACACTGAGGTGGTGGTGGACCCTGCTCTTAAACACAAGACCCTGGCTCTGTACACACTGGCTCCCCTCTCCCATCCCCCTCAATACCACCCCCCTCACACACACACACTCACACACACACACACACACACACACACACACTACAGATGAGGCTCAGGGGCACCCAAACCAGCGTTCAGGGCCGGGGACTCACCCAGTGTCCTTTGCCCTGGAGGCCTCGTTGGATCCATCTGCAGAAGAAGGCATGGCGGTCAGCAGCAAGAGGCCTGCCCAGAGCCCCCTGGTCACCCCAACTCAAAACCAGGTTTGAAGCCAGGGCCAGGCCCATGCCAATGGCCCCTCAGCCCCACCTCTTGTAAAGCTATCCTCCCTCCTGGCCTTACCTGAGGCCCCAGTGCTGCAGTGCCCAAGGATCTGAGCTCCTGCCTGTGGGGACGGACAGACGGACAGCTGTGGGCAGAGAGCCCAGGTGCGCCAGCCTCCCAGGGCTCCTTCCGCACCCAACCCTCCCAGTACCAGCAGTACCTGACCGGGGCCCTCGAAGCCGGCTGCAGTGCTATGGATGGGCTGTGGGATGACCTTCACCACGCCCTTCCTCAGCCAGGTCAACACCCAGGCGCTGGGACTGTGGGGGACAGAGGTACACACCCACCTTCAACCTCCCCAGCCCCAGCCTGGTCTGAGTGGATGTACAACTAAATAAAGATCCTGGGTTTTCCAACCTACAGCAATTGGTTGGAACTGCAAACCTCTATCTCCCCCCTGGGAGACTTCAGACATGCTGTCTTCCCTCCCTGGGAAGTGGGGGCACCAAGTCTCTGTGAGTTGGGTGTGCCCGGTGCCATCCTGGGCCCATGCTTGAGAACAGCCAGCTCTCACCATCATCCTGCCTCCCCCTCATCTGGCTCAGGGGTCCCCACCCTGCGCTTGGCACACATCCCATGCTCTAGAGCAGTGGTTCTCAACCTTCCTAATGCCGCGACCCTTTAATACAGTTCCTCATGTTGTGGTGACCCCCGATTTCATTGTTACAAATTGAACATCATGAAAGCATAGTGATTCATCACAAAAACAATATGTAATTATATATGTGTTTTCCGATGGTCTTAGGCGACCCCTGTGAAAGGGTCGTTTGACCCCCAGGTTGAGACCCCTGCTCTAGAGGGTGGAGGGTTTCTGGTGGGCGGGGGGGGGGGGGGGGGGTTCCTTGTGGCCGAGACTGGTCATCCTAGATATGAAGGTTCTGGGCTCACTGCCTGGGCCAGCCCCAGCCGCAGACGTGCTCACTTGGGTAACTTGTGAGCAGAGATTTCATGTAAAAGTCGGAGGTTCTGGCCGCGCTGGCCATTTCACTCCGGCACTGAGACTCCCACCCTCACTTCTCCTGGTCGCGTGGCCCGTGTGGCTAGAGACGGCCCCCCACTCCTGAGGCTTTCTTCAGCCAGTTCCCCAAATGTCCCACACTTGGCCTGGGGGTGACCGTGGCTCTGAGAACAGTGTGGACCCCACCCCAGTGGCTCCCTAGCTGGGCGGGGGGCGGGCCCTCAGGAGGGGGAGGGGTACAGCACCTGTTCACTCCGGGGTCCACAGCAAGCTGGGCCTGGAGGGATGAGGGCGGAGCAGAGGCGGCTTTCTGGATCTCTGGAAAAAGAGGCCCCCACACTTCATATTCATTTTTTAAATATACTTTTTATTGATTTCAGAGAGGAAGGGAGAGGGAGAAGGAGAGAGAGAGATAGAAACATCCATAGTGAGAGAGAATCATCGATCAGCTGCCTCCTGCACACCCCACACTGGGGATCGATCCCACAACCTGGGCCTGTGCCCTGACCGGGAATCGAACCGTGACCTCCTGGTTCATAGGTCGGTGCCCAACCACTGACCGGCCAGGCAAGTCCCCCACACTTTAAGATCTGGAGCCTTGGAGAGCCCATTTCTACCCTGTTTGGGAGGTCAAGTCAGAGGCAGGAGAACCCCAAGCGGGTCAGGAGGCTGGGATTCCAGCTCAGCTCAGCCTCAAAGTGCCCAGAGCCCAGCAGGCATGCCAGCCTGTGGCTCCTCTACAGGCTGAGGGGAGAACACAGCCCGTCCCACCTGGGCCCTGCCATCCTGGGCGTCAGCACTCACCCTGAGGGCCGGGGGCAGCCACAGCTCCTTCCTCCCCTTCCAATGGCTCCTCGGGAGGCTGGAGGGTTCAAATAGGACCATGTAAGCCCTCGAGAGGCCAGTCTGGTTCCGGCAGGGGCAGCCCCTGACCCACCCGTAAGGGACCCTTCCACCTCCCAGGGGACCAAACAACTCTACCCTCATAATCGTCTCTGTAAATCCTGGTGGCCTCACCTTCCCCCTAGGACACGCCCTTCCTCCCAGCCCCAAGGGCCCCTCATCCAGGGCGGGGCCCTCACAGCCTCCCAGTGGTCCCCAGGCCTATCACACCCCCCACTGAGACAGTCTTACCACCAAACAAATACCAACTGAACTAAGCAGCACGCTCAGTGGCGCAGTAGACTCATTCCAGAAGCTCCTAGTCTCAGGGTGGACTGCTAGCAAACAGCCCATGCCCTGGCTACTTCGGCAGCTCTATTCTAGACCAGTGGTCAGCAAACCGCGGCTCGCAAGCCACATGCGGCTCTTTGGCCCCTTGAGTGTGGTTCTTCTACAAAATACCATGTGCGCGGGCGCACGTACAATGCGAAGTTGACTTAACACTTTAAGTAAAGTTTATTAAGTTAATTTTAGGGAACGTTGTGGAGTGAAAGAAGATGCAGTGTCGAGGATTGAGAAAGGTATGTTGAGATGGTTTGGACATAGAGAGAGGATGAACGAAAGGAGACAGACGAAACAAGTATACAAGACGAGTGTGGATGGGAGAGTTGGAAAGGGTGGACCTCAGCGAACGTACCTCCATCAGATTGAGGACGTTTTTAGCAAAGGCCAGCTTAGGAGGACCCTCATTAAGTTAATAACAATGCACCTACCTATATAGTTTAAGTTTTAAAAATTTGGCTCTCAAAAGAAATTTCAATCGTTGTACTGTTGATATTTGGCTGTGTTGACCAATGAGTTTGCCGACCACTGTTCTAGACTCTTGAGGCTGGCAAACAAAGCCCCTGGGCCAAATCCAGCCTGCTGCGTATTTTGTAAATAAAGTTTTATTGGAACACAGCCCTGCTCATTCGTTGACGTATTGCCGATGGCTGTTTTCACACGCCAATGGCAGAGTTAAGTAATGACCAGAGATGGCATGACCCGCAAAGCCTGAAATCTTCACTGAGGAGCATGTCCTCCGTCGCCTTCCCTTCTTACCAGCGACTCGCCTTCTAGCTTGGCCTCCCGGGGGGCTGTGTCAGGCCCTGGCGCTGGTTCCAGCTCCGCCTCCAGGTCGGGCTCCAGCTCTGGTTCCGCCCCCTCCTCCTCCTCCATCCTGGTCTTCTGTGGGGTCCCTGGGGGCTGAGGCAGCACCCTCTGGACCCAGCCCAACATCCTGACACCTGGAGAGCACAGAGTCCTCAGGCCTCCCCACCACGTGGGGGCCGCTTTGGTGGATTACACATTTCCCTTTCCTCTCCTCTTTTAAAATATGTTTGCATGCCGAAACCGGTTTGGCTCAGTGGATAGAGCGTCGGCCTGCGGACTGAAGGGTCCCGGGTTCGATTCCGGTCAAGGGCATGTACCGTGATTGCGGGCACATCCCCAGTGGGAGATGTGCAGGAGGCAGCTGATCGATGTTTCTCTCTCATCGATGTTTCTAACTCTCTATCCCTCTCCCTTCCTCTCTGTAAAACAATCAATAAAAAATATATGTTTGCAATTATATCTCCAAGTAGCAATAGTCAGGCCCACAAACACATGTGTACAAAGAGACTGGTCACAACAGTGTTACAGCAGCAGATGAAAAAATTCACATATCCCTCAGCAGGAGACAGGTTATTGGAAAACACCTCAATGTTCACCTGTTGGGTAAATTACACTCCATGCAGTAACGGAATATTGTGGATCTGTCTGCACTAACATGGGAAGTTTTACATGCTCTAGTCATGAGCAAATCAGTTAGACTCAGAGTCCCTCGGTTTGCTTGTCTGTAAAATGGGGTATAAGTGCCTACTTTGTCGGGGTGACTGGAAGGATGAAATAAACTGGTTAGAACAGTGAGTTGCACACGCTGGAAGCTTGATAAACGGCTGTGACTGTTATTGGAGTAAAAGTGCTTGTTGTGGAATATCATGTTCAGCATAACCCCCTTGCAAATTTTTATAAAAGCATTCTAATCGGTAAGTGGGAAATCTGTTTGAATACAGACAAAATTAACCTATTTTCATGATTTCAATGTTTTAAAGTAAAATGACAGGGAAGCCCCTTGTGCTTGGTTTACTGGGATAGGTCAGCCCTGCCTTATATGGGTTCAGTTTCTGGTATCATTTACCTTCAGGGAACAGGGAGCCCCCTCCCTCGTGATCAGATCCCCGCAGGAGGGTCTAGCCTAGCGGCACCACACAGGTGAGGCTGTGCAAACTCCCAGCCCTGAATGGTCCCTTCCGGGTCATGCCCGCCCCAGCCCTGGGCAGCCTCCTCTGTCCCTGCTCCACCAAGGACCCCAGCCCCTGGCTGAAAAGGGCAGGCCCGGGCCCAGGATCCCTGCCCCAGGGCCCCGCTCCCTGAAGCCCATGGCCATGCTGCCTCCTTCTGCTCACAGCTCTGACTTCTGTCCCCACTCGGCCTCAGCAGCCAGCCTCCCCTATGAGGGGCTCAGCCTCCAAAAAAGTGAACTTGGGCCAGACATGACCCCTCCAGGCATCCATGGCCCTGCTGGGTGGGGTATAGACAGTGGCTGGGGCCCAGGCACCACTGTGGTCCTAGCTGTCCCTCTCAGGGCCCCCTTCCGACCAGCCTTTCAGAATCTTTTGAGGAGCTGGTAAAAATGTTGATTCCTAGGCCCCCAAGCCCTCTGCGGGCCTAGAATCTGCATTTCACAAGCTGCCCTGGGAGTCGGATGCACACTAAGGTTTGAGCCGCGCGGGGAGGGCCGGGGGAGGGAAGCCCTGGGTGCTCAGCCTCGCCTGGTTCTCTGTGTCTAAAGGCCTCGCTAGCAGGAGAGCATGGGGATCCCATCAGCAGGCCCACCACCACCTCATCCCCACTTACCTGCTCTGAGGCCGGCCACCAGCCAGGAAGTGCCTTCTCCCCACCACTCACAGCTGCCCTCTCAGACACCGGGATTAATTGACAGCACCGGGCAGGCGGGCCCTTAATTGACAGCACAGCACAGGGCCGTGTGCAAAGGATTAACAGGTGCCAAATGGGGGTGGGGAGGAGGCTGATGCTCAGGGAGCCAACAGCAGCCCCCTAGAGGCCAGCAAGGAGTCTGGGGGGGGGGGGGGGACACAGATTTGGGAGCCTCGGGGGCGCCCAGGGGCCTGGCTCCCCACATACCTTGGCCAAGCTGCAGAGTGGCTGGTCAGAGTGGCTGGACAGCTTGGGGTTCCCGGGTGATCCTGGGAGACTCCTCCAAGTGGCAGGGGCTTGTCCACTCTCGGTCATCAGTGGCCGTACACCCCAGCCCCCCAGTGCCAAGGCCGAACTCAGGCGGATTCTCTCTGATCCCGAACCCTCGAATCCCGGGCAGCTGGGGCGGGGCGGGGCCCCAGCAGCTCCTGCCGTGGGCTCTGCCCAAACCGCTGTGGTCCCAGGGCCAGGCCTTGAGGAAGGATCGAGGACTGAGGGGTGACTGACTGCGGGTGAGCTGGCCCCCTGAACTGAGGTGGGACCCTAGAGGGGAGACAGAGATCTCGGGGAGGAGGACAAGAGGGACAGAGGCCCGGGAAAGAGGGACGCTGAGGCGACAGGACCTGGACGGGCGGTGGGGTAGAGGGATGTTCCGCAAAGGGGTGGGAGCCTAACTCGATCATCCACAGTATTTCTCGAGCTCTTCCTCCGCGCCCAACAGCGTGCCAGCCTTGGCCCATTGAGCAAGACAGGCACGGGGCCTGCCCTCCTGGAGCTTCTATTCAACGGAGGGACAGAAGTAAACCAGATTAAGGAGGAGTAAAGAAATATTGCAGCCCAGCTGGCGTGGCTCAGTGGTTGAGCATGGACCTATGAACCAGGAAGTCACGGTTCAATTCCCAGGTTGTGGGCTCAATCCCCACAGGCAGCTGATTGATGCTGATGTTCCTCTCTCATCAGTGTCTCTATCTCTCTCTCCCTCTCCCTTCCTCTCTCTCTCTAAAAAAAAATCAATAAAAACATATTTTAAAAAAAGACATATTGCAAATGTTGCTGATTCCATGAAAGAAGCAAACGGGGCAGGGGGTAAGGGCTGGCAGGTGTCTGTGAAGAGGTAGACATGTGAGCTGAGACATGAAAAGCAAGATCTGAGTGAACGGTGGACCAGGCAGAGGACGCTGCCAAGGGGAAGGTCCTGCGGCTGGAATGACCTTGAATGCACCTGAGGAGGAGGGGGGCCGGGGCCGGGGCTCAGTGGGTGTAGGGAGAGTGGCAGGAGGTGAGGCCCAGAGACAGGCCCAGGCAGGTCATGTCGGCCTGTGAGCCATGAGAAGATTGGGTTTTAGCTCATGGGCCGCATGAGCCTGTCTTGTCTGCGGCTGCGACCACCGGTAAAGACAATCCATGGTCATACTACGTAGCAGGAAAATGGGTTACCGCTTGTAGGAAGTTGGGGCTGTGACTTGGAAGAGGTACTGGAAGCTCCTAGACTCTGATTTTTGCTTTCTTCAGTTGGCATCTATTTTTTTAGAACAACTTTAAGAGGTATAATTTACATGCCATAAGTTTCACCCGTTTTAGTGTACAGTGATTTTTTAGTAAAATGCCTGAGCTAGGAAATTAGCACCCTCTAGTTTTAGAACATTCCCATCACCCATTCCACTCGCCCCCCCCCCCCCCAAGATCCCTCCTGTGACGTCCCGTCCCACCCCAGCCCCAGGCAACCACTAATCTGCCTTCCGTCTCCCAGGCTTTGCCTTTCGCTCACATTTTATATAAATGGATCGCACAATCTGCGGAGTGTTTTCGTGTGTGATTTCTTTCATAATGTTCTAGGCATCATGTTTTTGAGGATCAGCCACATGATAGCACGTATCTTGGTTTCTTTTTCATTCTCAAGAGTATCCCATGGTGTAGCTATAACACCGTCTGTTTATCTGTTCGCCAGTCAGCAGACACTTGGGTTCTTGCCACTCTTGGGCCATTATAAAGAATGAACATTTGCGTGAAGTCTTTGTGTGGCCATATCTTTTCATTTATCTTGGGAAGATTCTTAGAGGTACAATTGCTGGGTCATATGTCAATTTACGTTTCACTTTTTCTTTTTTAAGCTCAGAGCAGACGGGCGAAGGAGAGAGAGATAGAAACATCAATGATGAGAGCGAATCACAGATCAGTTGCCACCTACAGGCCCTCTACTGGGGATCAAGCCTGCAACCCAGGCATGGGCCCTGACAGGGATCAAACCGTGACCTCCTGGTTCATAGATCGACACCCAACCACTGAGCAACACTGGCCAGGCTCTGTTTCACTTTCTGAGAAACTGCTAAACTTTTTTTGCAAAGTAGTGCCCCATGTCTTGACTTGCGTGGTAGTTACATGAGGTCTCATTCTATAAATTTTTGGTCACATTATTTATGCACTTTCTGTATTTTGTTACGTTTCACAGCTTTAAAATAGAAATAAATGGGGGGGAGGGGGGGAGGTGACTGAAGTCAACTCTGGGAGAGTTTTCCGTGAGCTGCGGGCTTGGGGATGCTGCCCTGGGGCTGTATGGAGGCCTGCAGGAGGAGCAACTGGGGAGCCAGATCCTACGTGATCTCACAGGCTCAGCACCCACTCAGCACCCGGGCAGGCATATGCAAAGTACATATGCAAAGTATATGCAAATAGGTCAGGCTCTCCCAGGGGTCCCCCACCTTAGGGTCTCTCTCTACTGGTTGTGACCAAGGTGGTCACAGGCCCCAGGGCTTGGGGGTGCTGGGCTTAGGCACTTGTGACCTTGCTTTCTGGGAAGGAGGGAGGGAGGCTGCAGGGGGCTGGGATGATGTATCACCTCCTAATCCCTGTCCTGCTGAGGCCACAGCTCTCCCTGATCCCCTTATGCTGACCCTGGATACGGCCGCCACTAATCCCCGCCCCTGGAGCCCCAAGGGCTGGCAGGCAGGGCAGTGCCCTCGTCCTCGAGGTTTTCAGGGAGGGAGGGCCCTCCCAGACCCCAGACACCCCTCATGGCAGGGCCTGGGGCCCTTGCTTAATACCAATGGGAGCCTTGAGGCCCAGAGAGAGAGAGTAACTAGTCCAGGATCACACCGCCTGCCCTGGCCAGCCCTGGCATGGCCATCCCCAGGGAGCCTGGCTCCCTGTCTGACATTTCCCAACATGCCTGGCCTGTGCTGTGGCCCAGGGGACAGCAACCTTCAGGAAGGCTGAAATGGGGGGTCGGGGGGGCAGACAGAGGACCCCTGGCAGCAGGCTCTTCTCCCCAGAGCCTGTGGTTGCTAGGGTTGCCAAGGAGTGGGTGCCCTCACAATCAGGTTGCAATGGGCATTGTGTCTGCAGAACATTCTTTATTCCCCTACTGTCTTATAAGGCACTGGGCCTGGCCCACCTCCCTATCTCTTCCCGCCCTGAGCAGCTGGAAGAAGAGAAAATCCTTATAAGCCCGAGCACTTGGGGCCTGAGCCCTGCCGATCAGGTAGCCACTGTGGGTGGGTCAGGAGCAGAGGGTCCTCCCTTCCCTGCTCTACTCCCTGTCCCTCCCCCTGCAAGCCCATCCCTGTGCCCTCTCCCTGCTCCTCCATGGCCCTAGGTCCTCGCCTCCTGCCCACCTACCACCACCTCCATCTCTCACCTCTAACGGGACTCAGGAAGGAAATGAGCTGAGTCAACAAATCCTCACTACAGTTGAAAAGGCGGAATGGCTCCTGGGAATGCCCGCTTTTTAAAGGGAGGCGCTGCCCAGGGAGCAATGTTTCCCCAGCTCCTATCTATCTTGTCTCTTCCCTTCTTTAAAATGCCTTTGCTCCCTGTAGAATTTTGAGTAAATGCCAGAGGCCTTAGCTAAGGCCAAAAGTCCATAATTAGTTCTCATTCTGATCTAAATCTGAACCCAGTTGCTGCTGCTGCTTCCTGCTCCTTGTTTAAGAATAGACTCAAATGCCACCTCCTGTAGACCATTCCCCAAATGCCACAACCTCAGCCTCCCCAGACACACACACCCCTGCGTTGACCCTGTCAGAGCCCTTAGCACATCCTGGGTGTACCATGTTGTCCGATTGTCCCTGCCACCACACAGGGAGCTCATGAAAACATAAAAAACATCTGGCATACAGTAGGTGCTCAATAAATGTCAGGCCAGAAGACAAATCCGCACTGGCCAAGGTGGTGTTCCGATGCTGAAGGGTGTCTGGCTGACCTGAGCCCAGGGTGAACCCCTTTGTACTCCTTGCTCCCCAGCTATGGCCCGCATCATCGACCTGGTGCCCTGGGACGATGGCTCCACCCACGTGTACGCGTCCCCGGCCATCCTGCTCCCGATGGAGCGGCAGAGAAACCAGTTGGCCGGCGTGAAGCAGCAGCTCTACCACCCGGCCCTGCCCACCCTGCGCCGCATGGACATGGATAATGCCAGGGCTTGCCTGTCGGACGAGCACTGCCAGACCACCAGCTACTGCCGCAAAGGTCAGGCCGCCTGGCCCGCTGCTGGGGCCCCTGGGTCTTTGGCAAAGGGGTGGGTGGTTTGGAGGAGAGAGATCTGGGAGTGCAAGGCCATGAGTGGCAGGTGGAAGCAACCAAGGGGCTAGTCCCAGCTCTGCTACTTCCTACCCAGGAAACCTCACAAGGTCTGAGCCTCTGTTTCCTTCTCAGCAAAATGGGGTTGGTAATGGGACCTGCCTCCCAAGGCCCAGTGTGAGGTTCAAATGAGATAAAGCAGGAAAACTAATTAGACTAGTGCCTGGCACCTAACAGGTCTCAACGCATGGCGCATATTGATGGAGATGTTATTGTTATTCATGGAGAACAACTGTGCAGAGGTCAGCAGCCGCAGCAGCAGGAATTAATAATAAAAGCACTAGTAACAACTTCTGCCCAATCCTCTCTCCATCTGGAAAATACGTGGAAATATTTTTTCCATTTGTCTTTTGACTTCTCGTGTTGTTTTTTGCAATGCAGAAGTTTATTTTTATGTAGCCAAAGTTATCAACTCTTTCTTTAAGGCTCCCAGATTTAGAGTTGGCACAGCCTTCCCCACCCCAAGATTAGGAAGAAATTTACCCATGTTTTCTTTCTTTTCTTTTTTCTAAAGATTATTTTTAATTGATTTTTTTTAAGAGAGAGAAAGGGAAAGGAGGAGGAGGAGGGGGCGGGGGGTGGAGACATCCATCAGCTGCCTCTTGCATGTCCCCTACGGGGGATCAAACCAGCAACCTTTCAGTGCATGGGATGATACCCAACCAACTCAGCCACACTGGCCAGTGCTACCCATGTTTTCTTCTAGTACTTCTATAGTTTCTTTTCTCTTAATATTGAAATATTTGATCTCTTGGAGTTTATTCTGTTGTAAGCCACTTTATCTTAGTTTTCTTAAAGTTGTCAAATATTTTCCCTCAAAAGAATTTTAAGCAGTGTGGCCAAACCTCTTCTGGTGTGGGCCTGCGACTGCTGTGCAGGAGGCATCTCCTCTCCCTTCCTCTTCCTTCTTCAGATGACTTTGACAACGCACACTACACACTCCTCGGTGTCCCCAACAAACCCCTGCAGTGCTTGGTGAGTGAGTGTCCTCTGCTCCTGGCCCTGGGTTTGCTCAGGGGAAAGGAAGAAGGCCTCACCTGCACCCAGCCCCAGGCGCCTCTGATCTTGGGCTCTACTCCGGGTGCTTCCTCGGCCGCAGCCTGGGGAGCCTGGTCCCCTTCCCGTCTCCATCAGGGGCTTCAGGCGCCCCTCGGTCAGATGAGCCAAGTGTCGGCTCCGCCCTCCAGTGTAGTTTGCGTCGGCCCCCCAGGCTTCTGCATCTGCCCCTGGGGTCCTGACTCCCATCGCCCGGTCAGGACATCACCGCCACTGGCCAGAAGATCCGCCACAGGTGCCGCGAGGGAAAGCTGGCGCCCATCCCCCCGGGCATCAACCGAATCAGCTGGCCCAGCTTCACACATGCCATCGAGGACTGGTCCCGTTTCGTGTCCTCTGCCGGCGAGTTCAAGCTGCCCTGCTCGAGCCAGAGGGGTTAGTCTCCCTGGCGCGGAGGATGCCCTGGGGCGGGAGAGGTAGCAGAGCCGCGGGACCTGGAGTCCGGGATCCGCAGCGCTGACTACGGACAGGGGAGGGGGGTGGGGGTGGCGCTCCAGCAAGGACAGGGCGGGGAAGCTGGGGAGCAGTGGGGGCACTGAGAGAGGGAAGGGCTGAGACGCATTGAGGGACGTGGAAGCGAGGTTCGTCTTAGGGACACGGTGGAGCCAGGTACGAGCCAGGAGCCTTTGGGCTGAGCCTGAGGCTGAGCCCAGGGTGGGTTCTGCGACCCGCGAAGAAGGGTCTGGAGGCGGGGCTTGTTCCCGCCGCTCCGTGGAGGTGGGACAGGTTCTAAGCAGGTGTGGGCGGGGCTTGGTCTAGGGGCGGGGCTCAGGTGAGCGAGAAGGCGGGGCTTGTTCCCGCCGCTCAGTCGATGTGGGACGGGTTCTAAGCAGGTGTGGGCGGGGCTTGGTCTAGGGGCGGAGCTCAGGTGAGCGAGAGGGCGGGGCTTGTCCTGGCCATGCAGTTCAGGCGGGGCCTGTTCTAGGAGCAGGTGTGGGCGGGGCTGGGTCCAGGGGCGGGGCTCAGGTGAGAGAGGGCGGGGCTTGCTCCGAGTGTGCTCGGGGCGGGAGATGGGCGCTCTCTCCGCAGTCGAGAGTTTCAGCGGCTACGCGGTGCGCTATTTGAAGCCGGAGTTGACCCAGAACTGGCGGGTAGGCAGTGCTGCGCTGGCCCGTCCTTGGGGCCCGGCAGGGTGGAGGGAGGAACGGCTAACCCGGGATGGGGCGTGGGCAGAGGGAGGGTCTCCCAGTCCTCAGGGTCGAGATCTCCCGCAGAGAGCGCTGTGTGGGGCGTGAGCGGGGTGGGGTTGGGGGGTGCGTGTCTCCCGGCTCACGGACCACCCCCCATCCCTCTGGCCTGCCCCAGTACTGTCTCAACCAGAACCCCAGCCTGGACCGCTACGGACAGAAGCCCCTGCCTTTCGATTCCCTGTAAGTGAGGCCACAGCCTTCCCCCCACCCCTCCCCGCCCTGGACCCCTGTGAGATGAGGGAAAATTCGTTGGCTCCACTACACCACAAGAAAATCGCAATTTCAAAATGAATAACTGTTGAACTTCTGCCGAACGGAGCCCCCTGTCCCCCAGTCCCTGGCAACCTCGCCCTTTCGGGTGGGCGAAGGTGCAGCGTAATCCTGGTGGCCTGGAGGCTCCCGAGGTGGGAGCCAGGTTTCCGGGGAGCGAGGTTCCCTAAGATGGGAATGCGCCTCCCCACCCCGGTTCACCCTCCTCCCTCTCCCGCAGGAATGCGTTCCGACAATTCGGCTCCAAATACAGGTAGGAAACTGCCCCGCCCGCCCCACACCTGGCCCTTCCCTCCCTCTGCCTGGGCTCCTGGGCGAGGGGAGGCTCCAAGGGTTAGAGAGAGCCGCTGCCTTCCAGAGACCCGCCCAGGCAGGAGCGCAGCCCACCTGGAGGGGGGTGTGGGGAGGGAGGCAGAGAGCTTGTCCCACCCAATGTGCCCCTGGCCATGCAGGGTTGGAAGGGTTACCCGAGAGGAGAACAGGGGCCAGACGAGCAGACAGATATAAGAAACACGATGGAGAGGGTCAGGGCTGCCCTCCGGGATGCAGAGCTGGCAGGAGCGGGCGCAAGTGTTCTCAGCCCGATTCAAGCGTCTGCCTCATTTGGCCGGCTCCCACCTCTCCAGCCCCATTCTCTTCATCAGTCCGCAGTCTCTTGGTCGGGGGACCCAAGCCACCAGCACAACCACATGCTCCACACCTTCGCGGGTGCTGATCTTTCTGTGCCTGAAAAGTCCTCTTCAGTCTTTACAGCCCAACCCAAGGATATCCCACCCTTGAAGTCGCCCCTCTGCCTCTCCCCTCCAGCGCAAACCACCTCCCTAGGGGTGGTGTCCCTATCTGATGGTGCACAGGCTGCTGTGTCCTAATGATTGATGGGAAGCTGGCTTCTCTCGCCCACCCTGCGCACACGCAGGGAGCACGTGCTATTCTGTTACTAACATATAACGCCTGCCAGCGCGGTTCACTAAAGGGTTGAACGTGAGAAATGCGGTGCATGGTTGGGGATCACAGGGAGAGAAAGGTGAGGCAAACCGGAAGGGAGGGGGCTTGGAAGTCAAGCAGAGCAACTGAAAATATAACAAGGGAAATAGGGAGCCATTGAAGGTTCTTGAGCCAAAGAAAGGCAGGCGGAAGCTGTGTTTTCAGAGCTTTGAGGGCAGGAAGGTGGGTTGGGGGCGGGGGGTAGACATCCTGATTTTCCCCCAGGATGCCCCAGAGGCGCCCACCTCACCCCAGTTTCTCTCCACAGTCGTGTCAACTACCTGACCCCCTGGCACTAATCTGTGAAAAGGAGGCCAATGCCCAGGCTGCTGGACCATGCCAGCTCAGTTTCCCAGCTGGACAGAGAGGGTATGGTGGAAGCCCCCATCTCCCCAAGAGTTCATCCTCACTGGAAATAAACCTAATGCTCCCACAGAAAGGCACCAGGCTCATATCCTGTGTGTGTGTGTGTGTGTGTGTGTGTGTGTGTGTGTCAGAGGCTGGGAGTGGCCAGGACCTGCAGATGACAATATCTTACCCTTTCCTGCCCCTACCGACTCCTGCAGGACTGGTGGGGTGGGAGGAAAAGTCTGGCGACCCCGGGAAAGAGCCAGGATCTAAGCCCCGAGGCCCAGCTGGGGGTGAGATGCAGAAGCAGGCTGAGAATTGGGGTTTCCTTGTGCCCTGTCCCCTGCTTGTAGCCCCACAAGCAAGTCCCCTCCACCTCGGACTGTGAACTTGAGCCCTAAAGAGAAAAGAAGAGGTTCAAAGGGGATTTTTAGACACCATACCAGTATGCCGGGAGTGGGGGGAAGGTGGCGGGGGGCGGGGGGGCTGGGGCTGGAGAGGTGGAGGCAGGCTTGGAGGGCTGGCCAGGCCTGGGCACTCTTCCTGGCACAGCAGAGAGTAGAAGTAAGATGAGGGCCCCAGGCCACTCAGAGAAGCAAGTTTCCTGCTCCACAGGCACTGCTAGTGAACATACCATGTGAGCAAACAGTTGTCTGCTCTACCCAGTGCTGGCAGGTGAGCAAAGGCAGGCATGCAGGCTGGTGGGGATGGACGCCCACCGTGACGAGGAGACCCACAGGCCCTCCCCACCCGGCCCTCTTTCCACCTTCTCTTTGGGCCCTGAGGAGGGCCAGGCATTCCAGCGGAATCTGTGAATCTACGGAAGGTCAGGCTTTTCCTGGATGCATGACCTTCAAGGAACAAAGAAACCCGCCAGCGTGAGGATAGCAGCTTATCACAGGGAGCCTGGCCCGCCCGGATAGAGGGGGAGCAGGGGGTGGGGGTGGGGGGTCTGAGAGTCAGGAGGGAGGACTGGAGACCAGAGAAGGCCCTCCACCAGGTGCCTGCGGAGGCCCCGGCTCTTTATAAAGCTGCTCCTCACAGACGGGAAGACGGAGCCCAGCGGCTTCAACCTCTGAGGAAGCGGAGGGCTGGCCGCCCCCTCTGCCTGCTGGGAAAGAGCTTTCCTGCTCCCCTGGCCAGACCCAGTGCCAGCTCCAGTCCCGGCCATTGTTCCGGCTTCCTGGTCAACTGCAGTGGGTGGAGCCAGAGCCCCAGGCTCCAGTGGCTGGAGCTGGAGGCCTGTGAGGTCCCAGCCCCACTGCCCGTCCCCCACCTGGCCAGCCCCAGCAGTGCCAGGCTATTTTTATCACTAAATGCATGGCTTTGGGCAGCCCCTGGATATCTCAAGGGTCTGCCCTGCCCATCTCACGGGGATGGCATGAGGCTCAGGCCAGCTGGGGGGTCGGACGGGTCTTGGGAACAGGGTTTCGGAGGGGAGTGGGACACCCCTGACACTCAGATGGGAGAGCTAGTCCGGCTCCCTCTCTCCTCTGCCCTCCCCGTGCCCTGCTTTCCTGAGTGCCCACTACGTGCCAAACACTGCACACACACAGTGAGGGCAATGTCACCTCACCGTGCCCTCGCCCTAAGCCCAGAGGAGAGCATTACTGGCTCCATTTCACAGATGAGGAAAATGAGGCTCAGAAAGTCCAACAACCTGGCACTGAGGAGCGACAGCGGTGGGACACTAGCCAGCTGTGACTGTGTGCTCTTCACCACGCCACCACGCCACTGCCACCACAGCTCATGCGCACAGGGGCCCCTCCCACTGTCCCCTGTGGGGCGGAACACACAGCCAGCCACAGAGTGGGAGTTTGACAGAGCTGCCAGGATGATGGGTCCCAAGGGAAGTTGTCTTTGGTGGCCCTGCCTGCCCCGGCGATGACCTGTGGACCCTGGGAGAACGCCCCCACCCCCACCAGGGCAGTGCCTCTCCCCAGCCAGCGGGAATTACTAACTCCAAAAGGTAGAGTTTATGCCAGCCTCCCCCTCTGGCTCCTCCCAGCTCTGGCTCTCATCTGGATGTCCTCCTCCCCACAAGGTACCACTCTCTTGCCATGCCGTCAGTGGTTGGGGCGAAGGGAATGATCGCCCAGAGACTAAAGAAGACGGCGCCAGTGTGCCGCCCTGGTCACAATGTCTGAAGTTCCCCTGTGAAAATGCTACGCTCTAAGACAGGGGTGGGGAACCCTTTTTCTGCTGAGGGCCATTTGGATATGTATATCACCATTTGCTTAATATAATTCACTTAATATAAATTTATGTTGCTATGAAAGGAAGCTGCTAATTTATTGAATTTTGAGTCCCGCATGCAGTTGCCTTGGCAGGGCCAGACCAAATGGTTTCCCAGGCCTTATACGGCCCCCAGGCCGGACATCCCCCACCCCTGCTCTAGGAGGACAGTCGCATCAGATATGGGACAGGTGAGAGAGGGACCTGTGTATGTGGCCAGGTGCGTTGCGCAGCTGCGTAAGCCAGTTTGTGTCGTTCCTGTGACTTACAACCAAGAGAACGCAGACTGAGACAGGCAGGCAGCAGGCTGGAGGCCAGGAGGGACGCGGAGGGAAAAGGAGATGTGGATCGATCCTGTCACCTTCCCAGAATCAGAGCCTCGGGTCTCTGAGGGCCTTTGGAGATCAGGGGTCAAGACCTCTGCTTCGGATGGAGAATTAAGGCCCCAAGAGGAGCAGAGAAAGGCCTGTGGTCCCTTGTTAGCAAAGGGCTAGGACTTGAAACTGAGCCTCCGGGCTTCATTCACAGTCCTGGTTGGGCCCAGGCTGGAGCGCAGAGGCTGAGGGCCAGGTGGGAGCTGGAGGGGCCTCGGTGGTTTGTGAAGGGAAGCAGGGGTAGTGACAAAGGAAGAAAAGGTCATTGCAGGCTCCATGTGGGCTCAGCCTTTCCCAGCCGGGGCTGCTCCTACCTCTGGTGCACGCAGACCATCCTCCGCTCGGGAAGGAGGACCTGAAGCTGTAAATCACCAGGCACATGCCAGTGCTTTCCAGGCATCTCTGGGGAGTGGCTGGGGTTTGCCTGAGCTCATGCAGCTACAGGGGAAGCCGGGATCCGAGGCTGGCACAGGCACCAAGGACCGGGTGTCCTCTAGCTGAGTGGACAGAGGAACCACATGGTTTCTCAGTCTCGGGGGCGGGGTCCTCCTGTGGCCACACACAGAGGAAATAAGAGAAGTGTGAGGTCCGGGTCATATCTGGGGTCCCGTCCCCCCAGCCTTTCCACTAAGCCTTCTGTACCCATTTTTGAGCCCCTGCATTGTGGGCAGCTCCCTGTCTTCTTGATTTTCTAGCCTCAACTCCCACCCCCACCCCCAGGACAGCGTGTCTTTGCTGACCGCCCTCCACTGGCTCTCAGATGCCCCAACCTGGGGAGGTTGTTTCTCCCTCTCTATCCCCGCCTCCGCCCTTGCCTTTGAGAAATGGAAGAAGCTTGAGCTGGAGTTGGGCCGCTGGGAGGCAGGGGTGGGGTACAGGAGAAAGGGGGTGTAGGAGGGCTGAGACGGGAGGCGGCTGGGTTGGGCATGCAGACGGATCACGGGCGAGGGGAAGCGGGTGAGAGCGGGCACTCCTCTGGGTCCGTCGCTGCTCTTGGCAGGCGCTGGTTTTCCACTGGGGCTGAGCAAGCGGCTTCTGACCATCCATGACCTGCTCGTCCTGGCGACCCAGGGCTGCAGGGCCGTTTCTGAGGGGCCCAGGTATCCTGCGATTGGTCTTGTCAGCATCTTCACAGCTCCCCCACCAGGGCCTCCATACACGACTCCATTTAATTCTCACAACAGCCAAGCAAGGGAAGGGTTAACCTCCCCATTCTACAGATGAGTCCCCAGCGAGGGAGTTTCCACAGTGACTTGCCCAGTCACACAACCACAAGGTTCAAAACTCAGGATCCGAACCCCGCCTATGTCCCAGGCTCAAGCCTGCCACCCTGGCTCGCACCCCTCCCTCCTTCTCCACGTCCCGTCATGCCCCCGTGGAAGGACGACCAGAACACGCAGCGCTGGGGTCTGCGATGGGCAATGTCTTTACTTCTAAAGCATACATTGGACTCACTATATATTAACATCCAAAGGGGCTATCTAAAATGGAGACATTCTTTTTAAAAATCCAAATTCTCACATTTTTATATAAGATTCAAAATGACATGAAATTAAAATATATGATGTTATGAAGAGTATAACAATAGCTTTTAGAAAGCAAAAGGAAAAGAAAAAAAAGTAGCAGTTGGGACTGCTGTCAGCCTGGGGTCAATGTCTTTTGAGGCATTGAGACTGTCTTTTGGGGCCGGCCCTTCCTGGGGGTCGGCCCAGCCCCACGGGAAGGGAACCGGGTCAGATGGAGGAGGTGGATGTGCTTTTCAGATGTGTTAAGGGAGAGTGGGATGAGGGGGGGCTCCCTGCTCCTCTGGGTCCTTGGTGCATTGATTAAAGTCTTCTTTTAAGACCCATGACCAGGGAAGGGGGCTGGAAGAGGCAGGGGCAGAGCTGGGGCCTAAATACTCATCTCCATGATAAAGGTCCTCGGGCTTCCCAAGGGCCCCGGGCATCCAGTGACATCAGTGGACTCCATCCACCTATTGATTTCCTTAACCCCCTTCCCCGCCTGCTCCCTCTGCCGACACCACGGTTCCATGAGCAATGCGGGCAGCCAGAGACAGGGAGGGTGCAGGAGGACCCAAGGGAGAACTCCCTGGCCTTGGAAGTAGCTGGATGTCGTCCAGGGCATCTGGGCAATGCGAGATGGCTGCGGTCCCTGATAGGGGAGGGTTCCCAGGGGCTGGCCATTCGCACGGTCCTTTAACCTGCCCCGCCCTGGGTACACAGGCCTGGCCTGGGCCCTGACGCAGGGCCGGGAGCTGATTGAGGCCACACCCTTGACACTGTGGTTCACACAATTCAAGGGGGAGGGCACTTGTCCACAACCACTGGGAAGGTCATGGGCGTGGCCCAGGCACCAGGTGGCCTAACCATCCCCGTCACATCGGCAGCTCTGTCTGGCTGAGAGCACACTCCCCAGCAGAGCTCGGAACCAGGTGGCAAAGGTGGGAGGGGCGCTTCTAAAGTATCGGGAT